GTTTTGTTAGTGCACCGTTAGTGCAATTTATTTATTTACATTGATATTAGTTGTTGCAGCCATCGCCATAAAATGATGAAGTCACAGCAGAGAAGTAGGTTGAAGAGATAATTGTTTAGTGTAGAAGTTGAAAAGTAATTATGAGATATCGTGGGTAAGTTGTGATGATATTATATACGGCCGTATAATTAGGTAAAGATGGGAATGATACGAGAGATGTATGATGTTACGAGATAATGAGATTATGTTATAATGAGATGTTGAAATGTGAGACAATTATATTATGGGGAGATATATTAAACTGCAGTATAAATTATTACTATTAGCCGGCTAAGGGATACGGGGTTCAGAAGTTGTGAAGTTTATTGGGAGGAGGTGCTATAATGGTTGTTGACAAGGTGTTAGTTTTAATAAGTAGATGGGCTTCTTATCTGTTATTTGAGTGTTGTGATACCGCCAAAAGCGCGCTTGGTGGTTAGAAACACTTCAGATCCAGTGAGACCCTTCGAACTTTGAAACTAAGATTGGCAACATGATTTAGCGTAATAGGGTATGCGGACGTGAAGAAGAGAAGATATTTGAATTATGATGAGACAGAGGGAGATTTGATAAAGGGGTTGTTGTTTAGAAATAAAGATGATTTAGCGTTATAGGGTATGCGGACGTGAAGAAGAGAAGATATTTGAATTATGATGAGACAGAGGGAGATTTGATAAAGGGGTTGTTGTTTAGAAATAAAGAAGTGTTAGTATAATAGGGTATGCGGACGTGAAGATGGGGAAGATGAATTGAGATGATACGAGATGATACGAGTAATATGAGATTTGATAAAGGGTATATTGGTTAAAGTTGGCATAGTTGGAAATATGTTGGGAGATAAGGGATACAAATTTTATTGGATGCAGGGTATTTTAAGTTGTGAGTGTTGGCTGGTGGCTGCACAGTTATTAATGCATATTGATTACTGCACACTGTTTACTGCATTAGGCAGTATTATTATTTTTTTATCTTGAAGTTTCCGCAGAATACTGAGCAAGTTCAGCAGCTGCAGTAATTCAAGTATTATACAGAGCGTGAAGAAGAATAACGCCTGTCTTTTAGTTACGAACAAAGTTGAGAGAACTTGCAGGTCAGATGTTTTAGTGATAATAAATAAGTTAGAATATTGTTTTTTTAGCAGCAAACCATTTTGTGCTGTGTTTTGAATTGTGTAACTATAAGTAGATTCGGCTGATCGAAGTATAGCCGCTAGCTGTAAGATATTTCAAAGTCAAAGTAATTTTAGTTTTGGGTCAAGCTTTTGTGGTATAGAAAGTTTATCTGTCGTGTACATTGTACAATCATTATTTCATAATACAATAGTTATGAAGTTATTCTTCACTATTAAATGACACATAGTGAAATTCTTGCTCAATGCTCATATACATTATTTGAACACATTAGCTTAAGTATTTACCTCTAAAAAAAACATTAAAATTAGGAATGGCCGAACGTGATAATGATAACTTCGACGCTGGACAGGATGACGTCCAACCTCCATTACCTCCTAGGCAAAATCGAGTCCATCAGGGAGCCCCACTTCAATTTCTTCGAGCACCTCCCTTACTAAGAATGGACAATGAGTTAGAGTTATATATACGGCGCTTCCAAAGTTATGTCGAAAGTATTGGAGCAAGAGAGCATGAAATACCTCATATCTTAATCAACTGCCTATCTGATGAGTGCCTCCTGGCTGTAGAACGACACATAAGGCCTGACATCACGTTTGATGAGTTACTTATTATACTGAGAAGAGAGCTAGGAACTGGGGGTGGAAACAGAGAGGAGTCCAAATTCTTATTAAGAAAGACCTTAAGACAAAGAAACGAGGGTGTACGTGCATTTTACATTAAACTTTATAATGTTGCCAAGAAAGCCTATCCCGGACCAGATCTTCAACTAGTTAGAGATAACGCACTCCGCGACGCTTTTATCAACAATATCATGGACTCCGCAATTAGTGCTAGACTCAGGGAAACCCCTGACTTACCCAATGAGCAGCTATTAGAGCGAGCAGAACTTTTGATTAACTGCAAAAATGCGTCTCAGTTTAAAAGCAACCAGCAAGTTAATGCAACCATAGAGCTTGAAAATGCCACTACCACTGTTAGTAACCAAGACGTGTTATACAAGTTAGATACTATAATTGAGTTATTGTCTACCAATGCAAGTACACAAGTAGACCCTGGAACTTATAACCCTGCTGAGAATAGTGACCAAATTGTGTCGGACAATTACGGACAGTACTATGACAATAAAGATAATTACGACCAGAATATGCACTACAATGACACATACAATTACAACGACTTTACTTTGAGATATTAACTTATGGTAATTCAAATGTTTGTTTGTACGATTATATTTAATTTTGTTGGTTGTGCGCGAGAAATACGGTTCTTTAAATTAATGATTTTTTACTGTAAGAACGGGCATACCTTATTACTAATAGTTCTTTTGAAAATTTTTTTTTTAAAGAAAAAAAAAAAGAAAAAAAGAAGGTTGTAGATTTATCATTTTCTTTAATTATAGATAGTTTTGATATGACGTGGTCGTCATTAATTTTCGATCGGGGAGATGTTAGGTAGGGGTATAGTGAATTGAGGGTGAACAGGTTTGCAAATATCTCACGGCCTGCATTAGTATCTTATAAAATATTTGTACTGAGAGACGGGTAGTCGGTCGATTAATTTAAAGTCTTTATCAATTTAGAAAATATTTGGAGTCAGCGTAACAAGCTGAAAGTTGTAAGGTTTGTATGATTGAGATGTCTCACGGCGTGAAGCTGTAGTTAGTATTTTAAGCCGTTGTAAATTAGTAGTTATTTGGAATTGTGACGTTCCCGGTGGGAAAAGCAGTGGCTTAAAGATTGTTAAAGTTTCAAATTTATTAGAACTTATAGTTAAAAGAATACTTACAATTATTTTAACAGCATTGATTGTTGATTATTGTGTTGACGAACTAGCCGAGGTGTTACAAGAGTGCCATGAGAATCAACTCCCCCTTCAACTCCCCAAAGACCTGTCAACCAGCACTATACAAAAAGGGAAGCTCGCCTGCTGCTCGCTGCCTTTCGCCTTCTGCATTCATCTGTCTCCTATCATGGCCCGGGGTCTTGTTCTGCTGTGTCCGTTCTCTCTCCACATGTTACTCATTTCTATCATAGGTTCGTAATTTAGATTAAGTTCTTGATCATGTTATTGTCATTGCTTGCATTCGTATCAAAGGCTGATGTTAAGATTAATTCGTACTTATGTCAATTTCCGTCGTATAATGCTTAATATGCTGTTAACATACATAATATCTCATCAGATTCCTCGCACTACTAGTACTACCTGTTCCCGATAGATCCTTCCAGAATTAGGCTAGGGAGTTCCTTTCCTGAGGTAACGATCCTACGTAAAACCTTAATCCATCGTTCATAATCATAGCTCTTTTCCACTTGTTAACGTTGACGATTGTAGTATTATAGGTATTTCCTGTGTACTAATTATTAGTTCTAATAGTTATTAATCTCCAGGCAATATGATGGTGATACCCACCCTACTTGCTCTGCCTGTCCTCACCTAAGCTCCACCAGTCGTATTGCTTCGTAAGTTTATTACGTCTTCATTAAGAGGTTCCTACGAAAGATTTTCCCTTATTTTAACTTAATTAGTCTGATTATTGTCACTACTTGAACGCTCCGTACTTATAATTATCTTACTTCAGATTGATTCCCCCCTCCTTCCTCGAGAACCGTTCGTCACTATGTTAGATCCTCGAGATGACCATGCAAGATGGTTCAGTTCTAGTTGACATTCCACTATATGAAAAGACCAGATCGCCACTTTATATTCTTATTCCTTGGTTAGTAAATTATACTTATAGTGATTCTAGTTCGTAAGTTATCTAGAAGTAGGAAATTAATACCTATATTCCGTATAATTAGTGTGGTCTATTAAATTTGTATTGATATATGATCTCTTCAGAGAGAGAGAGAGAACCGGAACAGCGACCTCGTGAATCATCCTATTTAATCGCTTCACCCTCGCCACATTCGCTACTACTTCAATTATTGGGGTAAATGGACATTAAGACTAAGTTATGAGATATGAGAGTTAAATTAATATTGTAGTCCTATTTAACCCAATTATTTTACAATCTTATTTTCTTGTTTCAATTGGTTATCTTCCAGATATAAATTCACATAAAATTCTGAAATCCATAATTACAATAGAAATTACTGTCCTAAAATGTATCTGTACAAAGAGAGTTTGGGTTTGGACTGTGCCCTGAGTGAGTCTCAAACCGGGAGGTATTCCATAATATCGGAACCTGAATTTCCATACTCTAGTTAAAAGGAGCCCATTATACGTAGTTAAATTAATACCATCACAATATAATGAAATATAATAAATAAATAATCTCTAGAAGTCATGGAAAATTGGAGCATTAAATAGGCCGTTAAGTAAGTTGTCGTGCTGAAACCCGAGTACGCATCTTAACAATCAGTATGTAACTTAGCAAGTTTGTACACATTTATTATCACTTTGGTAACTGTAGCTGCCCTAGTAGTTACTGGGCGGCGCCCAGCCTGTCTCTATTATGTTTATAAACATAGTAGCCTGGGATCCCCAGGTAACCCTACTTAACTAGTAGTGCTGTAGTGTGAGGTAGTGTACTCTTACTCTTACTCTTAGAGCGAACTGACCAATAGGATGGAAGTAAGGTTAAACATAAGCATAGGGTCACACCTGGTTAAAGTAGCCATGATTCATATAATACTGGGGTTCAATGTCAGGTCACATGATCGAGAGATTGATCAGATCGTCTGACCGTCACGGCCAAGAAATCGTGGATTCATAGAGGCTCCTCGCCGATCAGAATAATACAGAGATATCGCATCTTGTTAGGCGAATATTTATCTAGCAGAGTCTTGCTATGTTTTTTTTCAAATGTAGAACAAAAGAAAAAGCGGATTTTCGAGACGGCGAAATATAAAATCATGTATACTTAAAGCAAAACATCTCTCAAAATCTCAAACACTAAATATTAAAATTTATTCTAAATAAAAATTAAAAACCGTTACAATAATTATTTAGTGAGGATTCAAATAGTGAATTTTGTAATCAGTAACCCAATTAACCGCCCAAACAAAGAGCAGTATCTATAATTTAAGATGATGATTCGACCACTTGGTGAACCCGCAAATCAGGAGCCACCACACAGTCAAGATGATTATAATCACTTTCCCGTTCGAAACTATTCGGCTCGAACAGCCCTCGCTTCAATTCTCATCATCAATCTTATATAACTTTAAATGTAAAGATACGTAAAAATGTTGTAAGAAAAAAGATTCAAATCAAAGAAGCGTTGTCATAAGGATTTTTAATTAATCCTAATTTAACCCGGGCCGGGCCGGGGTATACCCTATCTATGATACTATCTAGATATCATCTCTTAACAAATATTACCTACAAAGTCATCAAACATCCACTACTTTCACTAACAGCTAAATTCACTGCAGTGTTACTTCCTATAAAACTCTATAATTAGAATCAAGATAATTATCAATCGTCATCACTCCATTTTCAACTCAATCCTTTGTATTTTGAATTTTCTAAAAATCCGTACGATCAGAAAGAGGAATCTAAACATTCCTAATGAAAGTCCGGCCATATTAGTACCCTGCTGGGCCGCAGCAGGACATGGTCCGGCTATTTACTAGATCCGGAAGAGGCGGAAGTAGGTGACGTGTTGTTGCGGAGTATTTGCTGTTGGAAGCGGGACACGTCGAATATCTTGTTTTGGGAGTTAGGAGAGAGAGCCTTGAGAGTGGGTCCATGTGGTCCACCTGAGGATACAACAGTTAAATAACCGGTTCAGTGAGAAGGGAAACCATGTGGTCCACCTGAGGATACAACAGTTAAATAACCGGTTCAGTGAGAAGGGAAACCATGTGGTCCACCTGAGGATACAACAGTTAAATAACCGGTTCAGTGAGAAGGGAAACCATGTGGTCCACCTGAGGATACAACAGTTAAATACCCGGTTCAGTGAGAAGGGAAACCATGTGGTCCACCTGAGGATACAACAGTTAAATAACCGGTTCAGTGAGAAGGGACACCATGTGGTCCACCTGAGGATACAACAGTTAAATAACCGGTTCAGTGAGAAGGGAAACCATGTGGTCCACCTGAGGATACAGCAGTTAAATAACCGGTTCAGTGAGAAGGGAAACCATGTGGTCCACCTGAGGATACAACATTTAAATAACCGGTTCAGTGAGAAGGGAAACCATGTGGTCCACCTGAGGATACAACAGTTAAATAACCGGTTCAGTGAGAAGGAAAACCATGTGGTCCACCTGAGGATACAACAGTTAAATAACCGGTTCAGTGAGAAGGAAAACCATGTGGTCCACCTGAGGATACAACAGTTAAATAACCGGTTCAGTGAGAAGGAAAACCATGTGGTCCACCTGAGGATACAACAGTTAAATAACCGGTTCAGTGAGAAGGAAAACCATGTGGTCCACCTGAGGACACAACAGTTAAATAACCGGTTCAGTGAGAAGGGAAACCATGTGGTCCACCTGAGGATACAGCAGTTAAATAACCGGTTCAGTGAGAAGGAAAACCATGTGGTCCACCTGAGGATACAACAGTTAAATAACCGGTTCAGTGAGAAGGAAAACCATGTGGTCCACCTGAGGACACAACAGTTAAATAACCGGTTCAGTGAGAAGGGAAACCATGTGGTCCACCTGAGGATACAGCAGTTAAATAACCGGTTCAGTGAGAAGGGAAACCATGTGGTCCACCTGAGGATACAGCAGTTAAATAACCGGTTCAATGAGAAGGGAAACCATGTGGTCCACCTGAGGATACAACAGTTAAATACCCGGTTCAGTGAGAAGGGAAACCATGTGGTCCACCTGAGGATACAACAGTTAAATAACCGGTTCAGTGAGAAGGGACACCATGTGGTCCACCTGAGGATACAACAGTTAAATAACCGGTTCAGTGAGAAGGAAAACCATGTGGTCCACCTGAGGATACAACAGTTAAATAACCGGTTCAGTGAGAAGGAAACCATGTGGTCCACCTGAGGACACAACAGTTAAATAACCGGTTCAGTGAGAAGGGAAACCATGTGGTCCACCTGAGGATACAGCAGTTAAATAACCGCGACCGGTTCAGTGAGAAGGGAAACCATGTGGTCCACCTGAGGATACAACAGTTAAATAACCGGTTCACTGAGAAGGGACACCATGTGGACATGGATGTTAATAGTCAAATACAAGAACGCCACAAACGGGAGAAAATAGTGAGCGGAAAAATGTAAATTACTCGTGGGGCAAAGGATTCAAAAACTAACCAGGTTTTGGAAGGGAGCTGTTGGAAGAAAGGGACGGCAAATCAGCTGGTCTAGAAGACTGGGGCGGCATGTTGTTATTTGCCCGGGGGTCAGTAACACGGGGGTCCGTCATCCTGGGGTCCGCGTGGGGGGTGTTGTGGTGCTTTCTCGTGTTGTGGTGGTAGTTGTTCGTAGCTTGCTGGTAGAGAGAGGGTTTAGAGGCTTTGTTGGTGATCACTAGTATAAGTTGAGTATTAGGTTTAGTGTAGGTTTACTGGGTATGCAGCTAAACGCAGCTGCTAAACTCACACGCATAGCCTTCTCAATTCTCATGCTTAATCAAAAAATCGATGCAGAAAAAAAGGGCGAAAACAAATCTCTCGGACACAAATAAATCTCTCAAACAAAAACACACAAAGGCACACAACTCAATCATTGTAATCATTGTAATCACACACGTTCTCACACCTGATACAAATGTGGCGGTATTTGCGTCATTTGGTAGCCGTGGAAGACGGGAGGAAAAGAGGGAGGACCGTTTCCGAGTTGGGGCGGCGCCCCTGGGCCCCCGGTGGGGTTGTATAGGGACACAGGGATCTGAGGTCACATAATGACCGTTACGTTATGTTGTAGGTAGAGATCGGTTACTTAATAAATATTATGTATTACAAATTGACGCAGAAAGCCACCCACAATCCAATGTTATATTGAGCTCGAGAGTAGAGGGCAAGGGATTCAGTAGTATGGTGACGGATATGATATTCAGTGTCTGGCGTTTAAAAAAAGTCATAGACACAATTGATTTTTTTGATAATGTTTAAACTTTTTTATTTCATGTCAGATAAAGCCACTCCATACCCCACGTCACGTTGAACTATTATGTTTGATATAATAACAAAACATTCTCATTATTACTTTTCATGAATGATGATCGCATTCTCAATCTCTCGCAAGGCAAATTACATTGCACGCATATGAATTCGCTGCTTAATTTTCATTCTCAGACCTTTTTTCTAAAAATACTGTCAACACTGACATTCACCATTCACAGTCGTATACGAAATTTGCATATAATTCTAACTACATAAATGAAACTGAAGTCCGTCCTCCGCCGTTTCAAAACTACGCGGTGGATGCGGACTATGCGGAAAGTTATAACAAAAAGTTCACACAGCCACAAAATATACCTTGTGCATGTTGGGTGTAAGTTGTTCCTGGTTACTCAGAGCCTGACTGAGCTTCTTAGCTTGAGCCAGGGCTTCCTGCCTCAGAATCCTTGGAGGTTTAAACCTGCAAATCAGTGGGAATTAGTGAGGTTTAAACCTGCAAATCAGTGGGAATTAGTGAGGTTTAAACCTGCAAATCAGTGGGATTTAGTGAGGTTTAAACCTGCAAATCAGTGGGAATTAGTGAGGTTTAAACCTACAAATCAGAGGGATTTAGTGAGGTTTAAACCTGCAAATCAGTGGGAATTAGTGAGGTTTAAACCTGCAAATCAGTGGGAATTAGCGAGGTTTAAACCTGCAAAACAGTGGGAATTAGTAAGGTTCAAACCTGCAAATCAGTGGGAATTAGTGAGGTTTAAACCTGCAAATCAGTTGGAATTAGTGAGGTTTAAACCTGCAAATCAGTGGGAATTAGCGAGGTTTAAACCTGAAAATCAGTGGGAATTAGTGCGGTTTAAACCTGCAAATCAGTGGGAATTAGTGAGGTTTAAACCTGCAAATCAGTTGGAATTAGTGAGGTTTAAACCTGCAAATCAGTTGGAATTAGTGAGATGAAATGGGGAGCAAGGGAGGAGGTAGTTGAGATATGTCTCATACCTCAGTGTCTGTCACGTTTACCTTGGCTGTTGGGGAGGCTGTTGTTGGTAGTATTCCCTTGGTCGCTGGTGTCTCTTGTCTCCAGTCTGGCCGTTATCTGACCTCCAGTTCTGCGAGTGCTCGGAGAAGGAATGTCTCCGGTAATCCTGCCCGTTGTTCCTGTTGTGCTGGTCCTCATGGTATGATCTGCAGTTCTCTGCCCTGTTCCCTCCTCGCCCAGCTTCTCTTCTGTAAACTACCTCACCATCTGGAGATTGTGTAATTAAATGATATAATGTATGATGTAATTAAATTATCTATTGTAGTTAAATAACAGTGCAAACTGCAAAACACAGCTATCTGATCTGTCCCAGATACTTCTTCAATCTTCATTTCTAACCAGCCGTCAAAAGCAACATTTTCTTAAATAACTTATGTCATTGAAATTATCGCTAAAGATTTTTTGGTCATGATTTATTAATCACTGATAAGAAATATACATCATTGCTCTTTGATTTGGTAGTACAGTCACTTTGTTAGATTAAGTTGACGTATGTGGGTACTAGGAAGGCAGGTTGAATGTTTATACAACACAGAGCACACGACCAACTATCTGCTGATCACGTGACTATATATTGATCGCGTGACATTATTCGTTGTAACCAGGGCAACCTTTTTATGGTCACATGACTCCCAAACACCGGCTAAAAACAACAATACTCGCGTGAGATCACTCAATCCCAGGGATTTTTACCAAATATAACTGTGGGCCAATCAGTTTCCTGGATTGAACACCACGTGACTCACGCATGAAAGAATAACATACATCCTCTATATGTACAGGCGAGCACTGTCATATTTACTGCAATTACTTTTGATAAGCAATAATAATAGTTCTGTTTTGTACCGATAAATATGGATAACTTGGAACCTCTTGTTATCGATAATGGATCAGGTATGGTCAAGGCTGGATTTGGAGGAGATGACGCTCCCCGAGCTGTCTTCCCCTCCATCGTCGGACGTCCCAAATACAAAGGAACTATGGTGGGTATGAGCCAAAAAGAGCTCTTCATCGGAGACGAAGCTATGGCCAAACGAGGAGTGCTGGGTCTGAAGTACCCCATCGAGCACGGTATTGTTACCAACTGGACCGACATGGAAGCAATCTGGCATCACACCTTCTACAACGAGCTCAGAGTCAGTCCTGACGAAAGGCCTGTCCTGCTCACCGAGGCCCCCCTCAACCCTAAAATTAACAGAGAGAAGATGACCCAGATCATGTTCGAGACCTTCAACACCCCCGCCATGTACGTGGCTATCCAGGCTGTACTGTCTCTGTACTCCTCTGGTAGGACCACTGGTATCGTGATGGACGCTGGAGATGGTGTTTCTCACACAGTCCCTATCTACGAGGGATACGCCCTCCCTCACGCTATTATGAGGCTCAATCTGGCTGGTAGAGATCTGACTGACCATCTTGTCAAGATCCTACAGGAGAGTGGCTACAACTTTGTCACCACTGCCGAGAAGGAAATCGTCAGGGACATCAAGGAGAAGCTCAGCTACGTTGCTCTGGACTTCGAGGAGGAAATGGAGCAGTCCAAAACCAACAGCACTCTCGACAAGCCTTATCAACTCCCAGACGGTCAAATAATCACCGTTGGAGATCAAAGATTCAGATGTCCTGAAGCTCTGTTCGACCCCACCGTACTCGGTATGGAGGCCGGTGGTATCCACGACAAGACCTATGAGAGCATCATGAAGTGTGATGTGGACATCAGGTCTGAACTTTACGCCAACATCTGTCTCTCCGGTGGAACCACCATGTTCGAGGGTCTCCAGGAAAGAATGCAAAAGGAGATCACCAGACTCGCTCCCGCTGGCAACAAGATTAAGGTGCTGGCCCCTGCTGAGAGGAAATACTCTGTATGGATAGGAGGATCTATTCTGTCCTCTCTGACCACATTCGAGCAGATGTGGATCAGCAAACAAGAGTACGACGAGGTTGGACAGTCAATTGTACACAGAAAATGTTTCTAAATTACTGGACGGACACGAACGATTTTAAGTCTTATAGCCACTTTGGCGTTCATGCTTTTCAAATTTGTTTATATTTTCTTTAGTGAAATTAGCATTGCTGTGATTCTATGATACATAAGGTTGAGATAATATCCTAGTATTTTCTAATTAAAATCGTATTATTTTTCACAATAAAAGACGTATCACGAAATTCAAACAAATCAACCAAAATTCAAACAAACCGGAGAGCCAACTTGCGTGACCATGCTGTTTTTCTCACCTTGTTGTTGTTGTTGTTGTTGTTGTTGTTGCTGTTGTTGCTGTTGTTGCTGTTGTTGTTGCTGTTGCTGTTGTTGTTGTTGTTGTTGTTGTTGTTGTTGTTGGTTGTGGTGATGGTATCCACCTCTCTGGTGGTGATGTTGCTGATTGTATCCTCCTCTTCCTCCTCCTCTACCACCAGTATCACCCTCTCTGTTAGATGAGATTTTAGTTGCTAATTCAAATCTACTGTTGTAAGTTTATCTCCTAGTGTGGGGGTTGAGAAAACGATGCAAAGATAATGGTTGTGGTAGGGGATAGAGAAAATGTTGAGCAAGGAGGGAAGGTTTACCTGAATTGTCCCTCTCTGTTGTTGCTTCGTCTCCTATTTCTGTTTCTCTTAACTCGACGAGTTTGGGTCTGGATCTCCCTTGATTCTGAGGTTTTGATACAATAAGATAATATGATTGCATGCAAATAGCTTTGTCTTAAAAGTCATTATACGGAGTAAGAAGTTGAAAATGCCACCAAAATAAAGAATACAAAACAGTCCAAGTTTGGTTCGTTAGTACCTGTATTTTTCGAATCATCGTTGAAAGAGACGCTCTTATGAGAAACCACGGTAACTTCGCTCACTTCACTTATGTCCTCATCTTCCTCTTCTCCCCCTCCATTCGTCATCTTGGAATTGCTCTCTTTTTCCTCTTCTGTTTCGTTTTGTACATTTGTGATTTGTGACGTTTCTTCAACAGCTTCACTGAAAACGTCGTCCTCATGATTTTCTGTGTCGTCTTTGATGGACTCTTCTTCTTTAACCATCTCTTCCTTTTCTATCTTCTCTACAATGACATCTTCTGGTGTTACCTCCTCTGTGGGAATCTCAACTTCGGGAACACTGTCAGGCTGGATTTCTGGTTCCGTTTCTACAGAGACTTCATCTTCAACTACTTCTCCTTTCTCTTCGGCGGGGATAACTTCTTTTGTTTCTGTAGCGGGAATAACTTCTTCTTTCTCTGCGGCGGGGACAACTTCCTCTGTTTTGTCAGCGGGTTTAACTTCATCTATAGGTTCTGTGGCGGGGATAACTTCATCAATCTTCTCTATTTCTTCTTTCACCTCTTCGTTGATTGATACATTGATTTTTTCTTTCTGCTCTACTATTTCTTCTTTCTCTCTAACTTTTTCTTTGTGTTCTTCTTGTTCATTTTCTACTTTTTCTTCTTCCATGTCTATTTCCTTTTCTTGTTCATCCTGTTTCTGCAAAGCATTGATTTCCTCAGGAGTTTCTTCCTCGATGTTCACAATCTTTGCCTCTTTTGTAAGAGAAGCGTATTCTGCAAGAAACATTAAATTATACAGCACATTGCTTAGCATTCCTTATCTCTATAAAGATTTTTTTAAATGTACATCATGCTCACATTCCAATGATTGCTATTTCAGTAGAGACACAACCTCTAAAATATCTTAAAGTGGAAGATTAAAAAGCACACGAGATATATAATGAACTGACCAGGTGTTATCTCAGGATAGCTCTCTGCTGAGTTGTCTTCATCTGATAACTGAACTGCACTCAACTCAGTAAGATCTACTGGTATCTTATCATCAACCTCCTCGTCATCTGGCGTTAAATTTTGTTTACACACACATTGCAAGGAACACCAAATTAGATATGAAAGTTTGAAAGTTTGAAAGCTGATAATATCAAAGGTCCATGATGTGATCTTGGTGCAAAATGATAAATGAGTTTAAATTTGAACCGGACAGCCGTTTCAATCTGTTTGATGCATGCATTTAAATTTTGTGAAGAGGAATTAAGGATGGATATCGTGCAGCATGACTCAACATTCACATGGGAAACAAAGGCAAATTATGATGGGAATGTCTTCGTTGGATCACCAAAACCCCTCAATCAATAGACATATGCTGACCTGGTACGATCACAGCGGATTGATAGGGTTTCGGAGTTGGTGCAGTTAAATGAAAAGCAGCGCGGTCTAGCCTACATTGAGCCTCACTCAATATATTCAATGTGTTTTGAACTGAAATAAAATTCTATGGAATGAGATTGTGCTACTGGAAAAAAAAAAGGAATGATTTAGATGTATGTTCACTGATCAGAGCAGGTAAATTATCAGTGATAAATTATCACTTTACGGTCTACATGATAGGCAACCCTGAATATCATGGACCCTGATTGAGCGTGATGCATGTGATAATTGCAAAGTATGTACATACTACATAGCCAAATATTTGCATTCCTTTAGATTTCCATTAAATCTGAATCTGACTTAAACTACAAACAACTCCGCAAATCACTGACCAGTGTGACAGAGATCATCCTTCTCGATATACTGAACACTCTCATGAGACAGACTCCCACTCAGCTCTGATTGGTGGGATAAACTCACACTCAGCTCTGATTGGTTATCTTCAATGTTGCTGGGAGCAGTGGAACACGTGCTGCCTAACTTGTCCTGGGGATGAAACTTAAAATTAGATTTAAAAAAAGGACGGAGCAGTTCATAATTATTATTATGGTTATAACCACAGAAATATAAATAGGGGGGGGGGGGGGGGGGGGGGGGCAACCATAATAAAGTATATTAAAATGTAGGATTTTTCCCGATTTTGACCCGGGGATATACTTTAATATACTTTAATATACCTACAATATACTTTAATTTATCCCTATCTCCTTGGAGGCCTACATCAAAAATTGTTGCTCAAAATAAGCTTGAAATGCAATTCTTAATCGATTCCAAAAAGTTCTTGAAAAAATATTGAAAAGTGATGGAGTTATTTCAATTTTAATGAAGTCATTTTGGCTAGTATTCCGAACCGAGATATTATGTGCAATTTTCCCAATTTTGTTCATGGAGGTCTTTTTACTTAGTATCCACTATATTCAACAAATACTGAGTTATATCTTTCACATAGAGTTAGTCTCATTAAAAAATATCGAAATTTTATCGAATTTGGGCAAAAGCGAATTTGGGCAAAAGCGTATGCCCATATATGGGCATATATTTTTAAGCTCATAGCTCAGCCAATTTTTGACCAATCTGGATGGAAATTCATGTACTAGTCCTAAAACAAGCTTATCTTGCGAATCTGAGTGAAAAATATAGTTCATCATGTAAATCTTAACGAAGAATATAAATCTTCTAATTGTAGGTATATTAAAGTATATTAAAATGTAGGATTTTTTCCGATTTTGACCCGGGGATATACTTTAATATACTTTAATATGGTTGCCCCCCCCCCCCCCCCCCCCCCCAATATGTCACTTTAACCAATATGAAGATTGTGAAGAACGGCACCACAAATCGCTATCTTACTAAAAGTACATAGTATAAGAGTATAAGATTGAGTACCTGGGACAGATTGTTGGGGTCTGGGGTTGTTGATTCCATCAGATTGGAGAATGAAATTATCAGAGACTCTTCTGAACCTTGTTTTTCTTGCAGTGGCTTCTCAGTGGGTAGAATGGGTTTCTGAGGATACACATTTTTGAAATTCTTACCAAAATACAGTTTTAAAGCTTTTTATTGCGAAGAAAACAGGAACAAAACCGTACATTTGGTAACATGACGTATTTTAGCTTTCACAAATTGTGACATTAACGTAAGAACATATCTGCCCATCTTTCAACAGAAAATTTATAATTAAAACGTATGAATAACGCCGAGAGAATGCTAAGACGTGTACCAATGCAACAAATAACAATACAACAATACAATGAACATACACCCAGGAACTACTTATCTACATATGAACAGTCCTTATAGTCAGTGGCGAAACGTAATTAATGCTTCTTGAAGGCGACCCTTAGGATATGCGTACCGTCTCAGTATGGGTCCCTAGTTTCACCACTGTTCCTAATGTCAGCCTCACCTCGGTGCTTGATGTCGGAACTTCTGCCACAACACTCTGAGACCTTATCTCTTGCTCTCTTTCTTGTGTTGCATTTTCAATACTTCTAGCCACCACATTGCGGGAGGTCAAATCAAGTACATGCGTGTCACCAGTAAAAAAGGAATTGTTTGCTTTTTGTTTCAAATACATTGCTTCAAACATTTCTTTATACTTTCTTGTCTGTTCACGCAGTGACGGACTCAACACGAGTTTTTCTTTGCCCTGTGTTAGGCGACACGTTGTTATATAAACCCCACACTTATTAATCACTAAAATACAGGCTGGCTCGCTATCAACAACCACTGAATCAGTAGTACTGATCAAGCGGGTATAGTTTAATGTTTGGAAATCACTGTAAGAGTTGTTGAAATTGAGCCATCCTGTCCATGAAATATGCTGTTATAGCTTTACAGCATGCACTCAATAAAACCCTCTATATCTACAGAATTGAAACACTTACCCCTTTATGTAGATTGCATTTTAGTCCCAATTCGTTGGTGTTTCTTTGCAGGGCTTCCACATAATCATCATCTAAAATTTCACGGCAACTTGGACACCTCGGCTGAAAAATAGAATTAGTGACAACAGCTCGTAAGTGTGCAAAATGTGGCTTCAAATCATAATCAACAGTGAGACGTTCATTTCATCGATACCAGTATTGTTCAATACCCTTCAATATTGTTCAATATCTACAAAGGTGGAAACTGGAACGTTTGTGTCTTTTGAGTAAATCGTGGAGCAACGTTTTGATAGAATTTCACACCTTCCATTTCTATAAAATTCAAGTGAGACGCTGAATGTAGAAAATATCAGAATTGTTTGGCAGAAAAGTTGGAGCACGTTGACACAGACCAAATACACCTGGCTACGCCAGCAGTATAAAATAGCGCGCGCTGTACTGCTGTGCAACAGCTGATGTCAATGACACTTTGTAACCTCAAAACACATTCGGTAGTCGCGCGCGCGGTTAGAGACATCATCTAATTCAGCTCAATGCGTCGCTGGATCTTAGAAAAATAACAAGTTCCTATGTGTAAAGTAGATATACTCCAGCCATCTATAAACATTCACCCATCACACACTACACAGTTGGAATGGTTATATTATGACACATTGTTTCGCATGGATCATTCTTGAAAGTGAAAATATCAACTAAAACGAATGTCCATTTGGCGTACAGTGTCATTAACATAAATTGTTGCACGAGCCTCTCAGCCTGTAGTTAGTAACGAATGCCGACGAGTGCCTGACTTAGCCAGGTGGGCCTGCAATCAGCCAACGCGCTCGAAAGGTTTCCCGGCGTACAATAGCCAATTCCGATGTTTTCTAAACTTAGCATTTCATTTTAAAATAGAACAGAAAAATTCGAGTTCTATCCGTCTTCATAGAGGGACGGCAACTGATGTTACTATTTTAGAACATTTTGACAAGTACTGATTTATTCAGATTTATAGTTTAGTATCAATGTCCCTACTATAGGCAGATGAACAGATCTTGTTACCCGATCTACTATATACTACAACAGTCAACAATTATTAAACATGAAGTTATTTCAGAATTTTTAATGGTTCCAAATTTTATCTGGGAGGATTGATTGAACTACTGTCATTAACATCTAACCAAGCTCAATGTGATTTGTGGTCCAAGCAGCTCACGTCCAAAAACGCCTATAACACGATACCACTTCAAAAAGAAATGATGTAATGTGAGATAGTCATTGCATGCAATTCCAAAGGATTTTAACACTTGTAATAATGACAGCATTTAAACTATTGATCCATCTCTTGAACGAGTACAGAGAGGAGACGTGCTAAAGAATGGTGTTTTTACAAGAATAACATCACTCAGCTAACACGAACAGTGCACTGCCTCCCCCCTGCGCACGCCCATGGTGCACTGTGTTTCACACTATCTTTATAACTACAGTTCAGCGTGTTTACCGTGAAGGAATACAGGAGTGTTATAGTAAATATTTATTATGTTGATAAATTGTTAATAATTAATCTACTGGCAATTTGCTTGACAGTATAGTATGGTTCTATAGAATGATCATCAAGAATGGTGCTTAAAGAGGCAATTTTAGGTTCATATGGCGATTTTTGTCCGGAAATTTAAAATGGCCCTAATCAATTCTGTCAGATAACGAATGAAAAGTGCCTAGTCATTACATGACATCAGCACAGCACCGAAGAGTTGCCATCGACAACATCGTCAAGAAGGCGACCAATGCGGAAACAGAGCCAAGTGGTCTTAGACCAATCATCAGTAAGCCTTGATACCTTGATACCTTGATATAGACCTGGGAGTTAAGAATAGAAAAGAAGGAGGAACAACTGTATCACAAATGCGATCAGGACACAGCCCGTTACTAGTAGCTTTAAGACGTTACATTGATGTTAGGCGAAATGCCACAAAGAAAATGACAAAAAAAAGGAAGTGAAATATATATGAATATTCGGTATACCAATTTGTACGTTTATCGTCATCTTAAATATCTTACACAGATTTAAGCTCATTCCATATTTTATCGTCTATCGCCATTAAAATTTAATCATAAGTGCAACCACGCCCCACGGATATGAGCTCAGTATCAATTTTGATCCGTTTACCCCATCTTAAATGATGGTATTATCTTGACAGTAATAACGTAACACAAATAAATTAAGCTCACCTCAGTAAAGCCGTCCTCATCCTTTTCCAGATGTTTAAGATGTTCGTTAAGACACGCCATGTGAAAATAGTGCGTACATTCTGTTATCGTGAAATGGCAATAACCCTGAAATAAACATGTTAATTATACCTGGAGCGTGTTAATAAGCAGTTAATTGCAGGCTATTTGCAGTTTGCACGCTCATTTTTTGTTGGAGATAATTGAAAAAGGTTTAATTGACCAAAATAGCCATTAGAACACCATAGGTCACGGACAGTAGTTACAATCACAACTAATTGATTGTGCTTACAATTATGATAACAAATTCATGCTGATCTGACTAATTCACTGTACATCAGAATTAAAGCTAAATTAACTAAATTAATTAACACTTACGCTAAAACTGTCCAGACAGATGGGGCAGTTACCAGCAGGCATGTTATTATGAGTTAATGTATCCTGTACTAGTTCTATAAGCTCGTATAGTATATTATCTCCTACTCGTGTAGTGGAGAGTTCAGATAGCTCATGTAGTATTCTAGGAGTGCAAGTTGTTAGAAATATTAAGGGTTATTGGGGAAGAGAGACGGTAAACACTTTTAAATAGGGTAAGAATTTATAGATTTTCGTTAAATATAGAGGTAATTGTGCAAAAAGAAAGCCCCACAAACGGCAAAAAGTGACGGGAAATTATTCGAACTATTTAAGCACAGAGTGAGACTGTGAGAGACTGGATAGAGTTCCTGCAGGAGCTACTTTAAAACACAGTTATTTAAAACCTTTTAAAATCATGTCGGCATTGGAGTAGATTTTATCAGGAATACCTACAATATGCAGTGAACGAACAAATAGTGATACAAAATTCTATTGAGAATAGATCTTGATCCGCCCAATGTTTATATAATATATTTATGGGACATCAAAGAAACCGAAGATCGATTACAAATACAGGATTGTTAGTGTTTTCATTGAGTTCAGTGAAATTCGAGAAAGGACGATTTTAAACGAATAAAATTGACTGGGATCGAAACTGAGCTTGAGGTCGTTTTGTTTGACCAAATGACTGATAATAGTCTGAATATAATTAACGGTGTATGGAAGACAAGATATATGCTCAGGTAGTTTAACACATTAGTAAATCACGGGTTAATTTTAAATTTAGATAAAATGAGCAAACATATTGAGACACTAATTAAAGATTAAAGAAGTGCCACGACACCAAAAACTGCACTGTGGAATTTCCAGCATTGCAAAACTGTGGAATTCCTTAGATGACCAGGACCAAAATATGCGGACTTAACTCAGCAACCAAAAAAATTAAAGCCTAACATAACAAAATGTTATGAGAGTAGAATGCGAGAAGCTGGACAAAATGAAATGTATAATATTATATCATATTGGACCGCACCCAGCGCTGACTTGTAACTACCAGAACAACTTATAAATACTCTTAAACCACTCAACAAGGTCGTGTTAACCCCGCAAAACACTCATAAAAACACTGTTTGACAAGAGAAACTGATGGGTTTTACCAAAAAGGCGGGAAACAAAAGTAAAGAAACGAGAGAGTGTGGGTTTGTGAGCAAGTGTGCGTAGTTAGCATGGTGTGTGAAGCGACTCACTTAACAGTACTGAGTCATACACATACCACAACACTCCCTCCCCATTGGTTCTATCCAGCTGTTCTGGGCTGTGATTGGCTAAAAACTGTGCAGTGTCTGAAACCCATCAACACATTCTTTAAATAGTTATGTGACAGCAGCTGTCTTGTGGTTGGTTAAGGACTGTTTTGCTGTGTTTCTATTGGCCAGTGTGAAGTGTGAGGTGGGAGAAATAGATTGACTGATTGTGATAACCAGTAAGAACTACAAACCAAGCGTGAAGCTCACACAAGCATCTCCCAGCCCAAAAACGCTTCTTTTCAACGGCCTGCGAGGTAACTGCAGGAAAATCGGAAATTGTGACTTCCGGCGGATAATACCTACACGCATACCGAAGGTCCGTTGACGGGCTTTGTCAAATTACGACTACATAATATTTCAACTGTTGAACTCTGCGAACACTCAACGTTTCAACAACAAAAGGAACAAATTATGTTATTGGGGATACGAGAAGAAAGCCTTATAAGCGCACGCGTCTAAACGGTGATAACTTAAATTCCAGGCTGGTGAGGTATGTTACTGTGTAATTGTTTAGTTACTTCATAACATTGCGCTGGTGTTTCAGTGTAGTAGTTACGCTGCAGTTACTGTTACTGTCATAGTTAAGTGACTGTCACAGAAAAGTGACTGTAACTGTCACATTTAAGTGACTGTTACTGTCACAGTTAAGTGACTGAAACTGTCACAGACAAGTGACTGTAACTGTCACAGACAAGTGACTGTAACTGTCACATACAAGTGACTGTTACTGTCACAGTTAAGTGACTGTAACTGTCACATACAAGTGACTGTAACTGTCACATACAAGTGACTGTTACTGTCACAGTTAAGTGACTGTTACTGTTATATCAAAGTCACCGTTACAGTCACAGTTCAGCCACTAAAACAACCAATTTAAGGGCCGTATTTAGTCACAGTTCCCATTACAGTGATTATAAATACCATTAGAGCCGGGGAATGCTAACTTCACACAAAACAGATATCTCAGAACAAAAGTCACGGAAAACATTGGAAGAGGATATCAATTACAGTTACACCATTATTTGTATGTGCACTGTTGACAATTAACCGACAATTAGACTGATTAACGTCTAATTATCCTAAAAACAGAGCCCAATTAACATCGTCATCTCCACAAGCTCACGAGACAGAGCACTGAAAAAGGGCAAATAGCAACGGATAGATACGGAGTAAATATTGAGACGGAAATTTCTAGTAGGAAGTGGGGAGTGTTAAGTGGATATAATGATAGTCGGTACAGGGAGTGTTTACTGAGAGCAATGTAATCAAATAAAACATTATTTAAAATACCTTGTTCTACATTAAAATAATACACATAACCAGTTTATGTAGCAAGCACGCATATTACAAGCATGAGTTGTAAAATAAACTGAAAATAAACAAACCGTGTCTCACAACGTATAGTAAAGTCACGTGACGTATAGTAAAGTCACGTGACGTATAGTAAAGTCACGACAAATCCGGAACAAAGAAAAACGTCAAAGCAACGTGCAGGAATGAATGACACGCAAAATGCAGCGCTGTAATAAATAATAGTAATAATATGCTACAAGTGTGGGTGATGCTAGACAGTGTAACCTGTGTGTATATAGTTGGGTGTCACGTGGCGAGTCACGTGGTGTGCGGTGTGTGTTTCCGCCTGGGAGGAAACTCACCTCCAATGACCGGCAGGGAAGAAACTTACAGCGACTGTGCTGTGTGATCAGCTTGTATTATGTCATATTACATAATTATATAATTATGATAATTTTATGCAAATTGTGTTATAATTTACATTTTACAGTGATCAGAATAAGATGAATCGCGTGACACTGACTAATGCCAATGAATCAAAAGCAGCACAAAGAAAAACAAACGAGATATTATAAATCAAGAGGCTTGCATATAATGAACATATTATGTAAAAAACAAATCTGAGAATGAACTCCTTATGTTAAGACTTAACTACAAGTGAGCTCTGGTAGGGAGTTATCAGTATGAGGAAGTAACAACTTAACACATATAATATAACCAACAAGTTAACCAACAAGAGGAATGAAGGAAAACACTGACGTAACCTCAAAACAGGCGGTGAGGCTTGAGATATGAGGTAAGAGGAACAGTAGAGTTAGTGAGAGGACCTAGAAGACAATAACAGGAACTAGAGGATCTACTACACACTGACCTAATGGGAAGAAGGCACATATCTATACAGAGCTCGTACGACTCTTGAAAGTGTTGAAATAAAGAGGATTAACAAATGCAGAGCTAGCAATCTGGTATTGGAGCTGTAGGAACTGGAGGTGTTATTTTTACACTGGACTTGTGAAGAACGAGAGAACGGAGAGTGAAACTGACTGGTGCTGCACAGGATTAGCTGTCAATACTTTAATAGGTAGGTATTATATAGGCATTAAATATTTATATGTATTCAGTTAGTAATTGTACGCGTGCGCTGTAATATAGGTTTTAGAGATGACACATTTTAGATGATTGAAGGATGATCAGCAGACTTCTGAACAACTTTCAAGAAAGTAGAGTAAAGCTTGAGTTTGTGTAAAAGACAACAAACAGAGGTTAACAATACAAAACTATAGCTACTTTCACTAAAAGAAAGAGATATTAATATCTCCAACGTTATGTGGATATCAACACTGTATAATATGCACACTTCTGAGATACTTTCAGGAAAACACTTAACAGTCAAGCTTGTGAAACTACAATTGCAACATACACAATTGTGCAAATGCTAACTACAATAAACGAATAAACACAAGCTATTAGTATTAGCTAAAAATGCACAACTACAGCAAGTGAACGAGAGAGATAATATTTCCAATGTCATGTGGAATCCAAACCTTAGGTATCAACACAGTATATGCAGTAGACATGACATTCCAAAGTAACATGGGACATTCCAAAGTAATGAGTGCTAGTGAGCTAGTGTGTGGAACGAGATTATCAGACTTGTTATAGAAGAGTTAGTCTAAAAGAATAGGTACAAAATATAATGTAATTACAGCGTGATACTGTGAAGTGAATGTGAAGTTTAAATATCAAGTAGGTACAGACTAAAAAAGCTATGTAGAAAAGAACGAGAAAATTATAGAAACCTCGGTGACGGTTAAACTTGACATAACAATGACACACGTTCAAGGAATTTAGACAATATGTGAACAAATGGAGTTGTTTAGGGAGGAACTTGATTCGTTGATTAAGCGAATGTGCTAAACCAAGTCAACGTATACGATTAGCACACTTCCCTGTCAACTTGACTGAAAATGTTTCCACCTGTTCTGCTAATAGCCGATCACAAAATCTGTAAAACAAACGTGCATGCGCCACACAGAAATAGAATCGTAAATTATCTCTGCTTGTGTTGTCATGGTTACTAATCAGGGGGCACGTGACAACAAGCTGATCAATCACCAGACAGATTAGCCGTTTTAAACCAACGGTGAGACACGATAACCACGTGACCAGATTCGTGAGATACGGTTGGTGGGTAGAATTAACTGGAAATTTCTTATTGCAGCACCAACAAAGAGGAAAAGGCAATTAAACATCACTAAAAATACAAGCTCAGATAAAGCTGGTGAATATGTGGCGGGTTAATGTGGAGGAGTCTAGACCTGGGGGGAGGTGAAACAATTAGGGTAATTGTCTATGTAATTAGATAATTATCATCAATTGATGACATAAATACAATTAACTGATGACATAGTCATAAATAATTGTAACTTAACAATCATCAACCAATCACATAGTCATAATCAGGTATTAGTGTTACTCTCATCCTCCACTTTTCTACTTTTCTAGGGGTTTCTATAATAATATGCTGAATATGGCATACATAATCAATGAGCAAATGGTGATGATCCCAATTGTTCTCCGAATTTCTCATCTTGTTTCAATTACAAGTCTTCAATTTAAAATTCAGTAACGGATTACTATTGTCTTGTAAGCCGGTTCTGCTAAAGTTATTTACTAAAACATGATTTACACAACAATTCACACTGACCTGTCCTGGTGATCTTGTGATATTCCTCTCACTCGACTAAATTTAAAAGTGGGTGGTTTTATATCCGGATATTCCACTTTATTGATAATCATAGTTAAGTCCAGGAACACATATTTGAGATCCCATCTATCACCAGTACAGGGAGTCAATGAAACCTTCAACTCAAACTCATCACCCCTGAATAAATGATAATTGATCTTCATATAATATAATATGATGTTAAAGCCAGTGTAACATAAAATGTATGAATCATGAAAGATCTCTAGTAAATCTCAGAAAGCTAGAATGATATTCTACGATATTTAAATATAAGTTAACATTCTTCCATCCTTAATATGCACAAAAAGTCTACTTGTAGATCACAAAGAATGGACACACAAGGTACCGATTGAATCATCATTAATAAGGAAAAGGAAGTCGTCGACCTTGAGAATGTCTAAAATGGTTACTGAGTTATAAAATAGGTTAATTGTAAAGGGGATTATTCAATATTTTATGATAACAAACTTTCAATCTATAAATCTAAGGCAAGTTTTACGTACCTGTCAAAAAGTTGAATTTCCTTGAAAAATATTTCTTTCAACAGTTCAAGTTCATCTTGGAGATCTTGATTTAGATCTGACAACACCAAACTGTCTTCCTCTGTCATAAGGGGCCACTGTTATTTATACATTCCCTGTCTGACATGCAGCCGTTATCAACACCCTATAAATCATGAAATGTATAGTTTAAAAAGATATTAAGGGCAGTAAATCTAAAATGTGAGAAAACCAACACTCTAAATTTTGAGAAAACCAACACTCCTTGATGTTATTACTAAATAGGAAAATGGATTGTTCTCTAGCACTGGAGATTAGCCATCAGTTTGATCATGGTGCATAAATTATTATGCTTATATATTTAGCTGTTGTAAAAATTATTATATACAATATGGGGTTCTTTTGGCCTGTAAAACTGCTCAACTTTCCTCCTATGGAGAAATATAAACAGAAGCTGGACTGCTTCGATGAGTTTGATACAGGTATCTCTTTTCCTTCTCATTCTTTTGTTGCTATGCTTACTTCAAATTCAGTGACATTTCATGCAGCATATGGATAAGACACCCTTAATCCTTATGTCAAAGAAAGTGTTGTCAAACAGACAACACTTTGTTTTGAAGAAATTTTAATAACAAACCCTCTCAAATCTCCAGATTTCTGGTTTTTGCTTTTACAAAATTTTGTGAGAGAAGGGGTGCCAAAGCAAAAAATTGTGAGTAATAACCCTTAAATATTTTGCCTGTACAGATTATTTTAAAATAACTACATTACTAGAATAATTTAATTTTGGGTTTTCTTCAAAGTTGTAGCTGAGAAAGCTCACAGCAAGTAGACCAAAGTGGCTTGTGCTTGTATAAGGTGCATCAACTTTCCACCGAAGCGGTGGGTTGGGAGTCCTCCCTGGGACCATTTCGCCTAGTGGGACATAGGATTCTTTTTCTGGCTGAAGTACTCTCTCCTCAGTCCTCATAGAGATCTTTTTTCTCTTTCTCATGCTTACTGTAGATCATATCTAGTGGCTTTGAGGTCGTTCACATATTACATAATCAACCGAGGGGGGAGGGGGGTTTCCAAATGATCACGTTACATGTTGTCCCCTGCTTCCACACCCACAGCGGCCCCATTTTTCGCTCCCCCTCCCCCTCTCAAAGTAGAAAGCCTAAAGTAGAAAAGTAAAATTTCTCCACCGCTTCCACCGCTTCAGAGAATTGTCAAAGAAGAAAAAAAAAAAAAAAAAAAAAAAGGAAGCAACTCACGGTATCACTCTCATAAGAGACATGTTTCATCATTTACCGGAGTTGCAACCAAATATACACAATAAGGTTTGGTACTTTATCCGTACCTCCCCTTTCATAGAAATAATATTTCAAATTCAAACCAGATTCCAATTCGATGTTAATTCAGTATCACACAGAACCTATCTATAGGATTTACTTTAAAAGCCACATGATATTTCACATTGCTAGTTCCTACAAATTTTAAAATAGATAATAGTGTCATGCGTATAATTTAAAATTTAATCTAAACAAAAAAACTTGATATTCTTCACTGCTGTCATATAAAACGATTGCAATGAATCCCAGGAAAATCTTAATAGCGCTCGATTTTACTTCAAACTAACCAACGTGACGATAGCAGGAAACTATTTTAATTATGATTTAATTTGCTCGAAATATTTGGTTTTCTTGCTAACCAGCAATTAAGTAGTTTTGAACGCTAATCGAAAAATTTTAAAGCTCGCTACCTGTGCCGTTCATAATCTAAAGCATAAGCAAAGTATGAAGTATGAGCTAATCACAGACCATTGATTTTGATATAATAAAATTTATTTGATCACTATGGCAAGGTTTATTCTATATTTGCAGCAGTTTGCAGCAGTTAGCAGCAGTTAGCAGCAGTCAGCAGCAGTTAGCAGCAGTCAGAAGCAGTTAGCAGCAGTTTCTTTGCACTTTAGTCTCCCTGTGCTTTAAATGGTCATTTAACACGTGATCGAGACAGTTTTTTGCCAATATCTTGCCAAGTAGGGCATATAGTTTATGTAATAAGCGCCATGAGCTGGCACAGAATTTTTGTCTCTGATTTTGTTAAATTTGGTACCAAAAGTTGCCTCTAAGTGTGAATAATGCATGAATGAAAATTCACCGTGTAGCACGATAACGTCGAGCTGTATGTGGGCCTTTTGTGCATCGCAAGACTGTAAAAAGGACGAAAAAATGGGTAATTTATTATTTAAAATGCCTAATGCCTATTGTTTCGGCGATTGAATCGTTGATGGGCCGGCAAATATTTGTTGTCGAGTAGTGTTGAATACTCATATTAACATGATTATTGATTTAATTTAGGAATTGTATATAACTATCTTTGACCAAGTTTAATTGTTAATGAGAATGCACCCCAGCACTGGGCGCGCGCGGCGGCTTTGATAATTTTTTTTATTTGAAAATTCAATTAATCATTATATATATAAATCAAGCGTTACATTTCAGCCATGCAAAATTACAATGACATATTTTGGTTACTAAATGATAAATGGTACTGCAATATAAGTTGCTTAATGTTTGGCCGGATGACAACTAACGAGAAAAATAAACTTGATTATATAATAATTAATTCGGCTGAACCAACACATAGCAAGAGCCACATTAACGTTGGGGCCGTCTACCAAATTTGAATGACAAACATTAACAAGAAATCAAACATATCATAAATAATTATAAGGATTTTGTTCATTACAATTCCGTCACAACTGATAAAGAAAAAAGAAAAGGACAAGCAGATAGGAAATTGGACGGACAGAATTGTAACCAACAAAAACAAATTTCTGAGACTCATAAGACTGATGAGCTAATCTGGCCAGACTGTATCGGCAGCCCAGAGGTACTTGATCAGTTTGGCCTTAAAAGTAGAAATACGCTCTGACTGCCGGATACATACTGGTAGACTATTCCATTTCAGCATAGATCTATGAAAAAAGCTATTTCGGAAGGCATCCGAGCATAGCGGCTACAAGCTTGAATCTAGGCAGCTGCAGAAAAAACGCCAAGCGCGTTCACAGTTCAGCGTACGGCTTTTCGTTTTTGATTTTACAAATGACAAAGCAACTTTTAATGATTATTAATGGAATTATCGGATATTTATAATTCAATATGTATTGATTCTTCTGTAGAAAATAAAAATTGTATTTTACTTTTTTTTTTAAATTGTATTTTTCTTATTACTCCTAACATACTGAATATTTTGAAATAATTCATACAGGATCGTAATGAGCTTAGTCAGACGCAACTTTTAGTACCAAAATTATAATATTTGAAGCACAAAAAGTTTCAAAAATTTGGTCAAAATTTCTTGTGTTCAGATTTAAAGTTTTTGAAAATAATTTTCCTTTAAATCTTAAAATATTAGTACCAAAAGTTTTGTCTCGATGAGCTTATTACGATGTCATAATAATTACGTGATAATAACTGAAAATGTGAAAGTAATAGGCCAAAAACTAAAAATTTGCGCGGAAAAAGCACGCGCGGCATTGTCCTACGTTGTATGACCCGCCGCGCACGAAGTGCGCGGCTCCCCCTGTAGCGTCGAAGTGGTGACCCCCACGGTCATACGTTGTATGACCCGCCGCGCACGAAGTGCGCGGCTCCCCCTGTAGCGTCGAAGACGCTATAGTGAAGCGACCGTGGGGGTCACCACGTGATACAAGGCAATGTTACGCCACTGGCTATATATTGTTCGTTCACAGAGAGAATTCAGTAGAGTGCTCTTGATGTGGCGACTGGCGGTGAATTTGCTAGGGTTTACAGTTTTATTGGCGGAGAGCAAACCGGCTAGGTCTGTGATATTTTTGGTAACACGACTCCTGTCCGACAGCAACATCTGTCCGACTCAGGGTACCAGAAAAAAACGACATCTGTCCGAAATTGTGATCTGATTTCAATAAGACACATTTCAATTAGAGACATGATCTGAACTGTTACTTGCTAATTTGTATACGTGATGCCAACCTTCTGCGATATTGGATGAATGAGGAATCTTCATCTGTGCATGGTGCAGCTTCGTATTGAATTCCAAATGTGGAGAGCGAAGTTAGGATTGGTGGTTGATGTCCGATCCAAGTGTTTTCCACGTCTGGTAGTGGAGGGCCAACTGCGTTGCGAATGGCGAGCTCGTAGTCCATGAGGATGATAGCTGGCAGCCAAGGCCCAAGCTTTGCTCCAGATTCGTAACCCAATCCACCAACTGCTTCAGATACGAGGTATTTCGTCGGTTGATCTCCACCAGAAGCCTTTCTTTTCAAGTTCAGTTTGCTGACGTGGACGGTCGTTTCAGCATGGTGGACAGGGTGAGTGTGATCAGTTGTTTGTCCACGATAGAGATGCGGGCTCTGCAACCCTTTCGGAAATCCGAACATTTCCAGTAGGAGGTGTCGTCTCTTTGTTTGTCGAAGACATATCGGAAGCCATTCAGGACAGGGTTCTTGCATCCAGGCCAATGAAACAATCTGATATCTTATATGAAAGGTTACAAATAGTGGAGATTATTATAACAGTACTATGATTTACAGTGTATTACACGGTACCATTGCATTATACAAGATTCTAGAGCAGATTTTTCAGATACCATGTTCAATGTTGATGTAAAATTGTAGGAATGTGAGAGGTTTCGACAATAAATTTTCTAAAAAATGTGTTTTAGAGCAATTTGCCAATACATTATATAAGTCTCTAAAAATTGTCACACATTGAAACAATGATTGCCCCACACTGCGTGATCAATCTGGTGATGGGACTTGAAAATGGCAATATTTCAATCAAATTTTGAAAATTCGAAAAAATAAAATTCTATTGTATTTAAACGATCATAGTTTCAGCTATTAACCACTCAGGTATCAGCTACTAGCCAGTACCGTTGTGAGAAACATTGAAATATACATCAGTATGCATTACTTGGCTCATTATTAATGGCTAATAATTATTAATTACCTACAAATGCCAAATTTTGACCAATTTACCTATTAACTCATGTGGCATACTGCAAGATCCAATTGGTTAGGAATTTCCTTCCTGAATTCATCAAATTCTGTCACCTTTCTGCAGCCTTTAACAGGGCAGCTGATCGTAGCTTAACATGTTGATTTGTGATAGTTAATAATGATTGTTATGTGTTAAAAATGTTAATCCCAACGTTAATTAACCAACATGTATGAAAAGTTATTGATCTCAAATAAGTTTCCATATTGCAGGGCATGTTGATTGGCGCATTGTGCGCTGCACTTTTATCAGTGGTGATATCTCACCAAACTGTGTATGTAACTGAGGGAAATCAAGTCCTGTCCCATAAACCTCATGGAGATTTCATTGCATTTGTTGAATTCAATGACTCTCTTGGATCCACTGGTTGGACAAGTTTGACAATCATAACCAATGGTTCTTATCCTGATGCTGACCAGGCCCATGCAGCTGGTGTTGGGGAAGGCTATGCCACCGCAGAGAGGATCTTACAAAGTTGGGTGAATACAATGTCTACTTATTGCAAGGAAGCAACTGAATTCTGCAACAAACTCGATGAATTTGTTTATGAAAATCAGTACTGGATGAACTATAAGATAGATAAAATGGCAGGTGTGTCAAATTATTGGTACCATGTTCGTGTTCTCAGCAGACAGATTCAAGGTCTGTATGACGGATTTAACATGGTGTATCCAGGCAGGCTACAACTTCGTGACTTTTATCTCATGAATCTCAGTGGTGATCTTGAGGATTTGGAACAGGCACTGGGTGGCGGATTAAAAGAAGTTCGTGCAAGAAAACGTGACAAAGTTGAAAGGGCACACATGCTTGGAACTGGGTCATGTTCAGCTTTAGTTAAATGGTTGCCTCATGAACTGCTGACATCCCACATCACATGGAATAGTTACCAAAGTATGATCAGGATTGCTAAGAACTATATCTTTAACTTTAGAAAAGGTCCAGAAGATATGAGCAGCAGAATTCCAGGTACTTAGATATTGTATTCTGACTTTTGGTATCAAATGATAACATATTATGGAACCCTAACGGTTACATCAGCAATTTAAAACAATTTTTCATTCATATATTTTTTTCGAATCAGTCAATAGCCAAAGGCAAAATCTTCAGGTAAACGGCAGGTTTTCACATCCTATCCTGGTTATGTGAGTAGTGGTGATGATTACTCACTTCTAAGTTCTGGATTACTGTCTATGGAAACTACTATAGGCAATAGCAATGCATCACTTTGGGAGTTTGTAAAACCGAAGGGGAGTGTTCCTGAGTTCATGAGGAGTGTCATTGCCAACAGATTGGCATCTTCTGGCAAAGAATGGGCAGACACATTCAAGCAGTACAATTCTGGTACATACAACAACCAATGGATGATTATTGACTACAACAAGTTTGACCCAACTGCCAAATCTCTAAGTGACGGCACACTATGGGTCCTTGAACAAATTCCTGGTTACGTTACATCAGCTGATCAAACTGATGTTCTAAGACAACAAAAGTACTGGTCAAGCTACAACACTCCGTTTTATCCAGACATATTCAAGATGTCAGGATGTCAGGTATCTGTTGATAAATATGGTCCCATGTTTGCTTATGACACCACTCCAAGAGCATTGATTTTCAAAAGAGATCAGCACAAAGTTGTTGATATGGAAACACTGTATGATCTTATGAGATACAATGATTACAAAAACGACCCCCTCTCAAAGTGTGATTGTGAGCCACCTTACACTGCTGAAAATTCAATTGCTGCAAGAAGTGACCTTAACCCTGCTAATGGGACTTACCTTCTCCCGTTTTTGGGTCACAGACTTCATGGTGCAACAGACTACAAGGGCACCAATGCTGGTAAATATCAAAGAATTTAAAATTTGAATTGAGATAGTTATTCATTAATATAATTCACAACTCTTTTTCTGCCGTTTTATGACAAAAGCACATGTAAAGATTACTCAAAAATAAGAGGTTTTTAAGCACTTTTTTCTGGAGGCTGGCGATTAATTCTAATAGTTTCTGATGGTTTTCAGGGATATTTCTTGATCCAAAAAAGAAATTTGGGTTAAAGAATTCAGAATTTCAAGAACTTCCAAAGTAAGTATGTACATATTATTATTTATTGAATACCCTTTCTCTTTCAGAGATGATGAAGTCATTGAGTTTCCGTGCAGCAGCAGGACCTACAGCTGAGCAACAACCTCCCTTCAGATGGTCCACGTCTGACTGGTCGGATGTACCGCATGTTGGGATGAACGATTTACAGCACTTCTCTGAAATCACTGTGTCATTTGAGGAGGACAGTGCTGCTGTTGTGGACTTTTGATGAATGTGTTTGATTTTTTAGATCTGGTTTTCTGCCTCTAGTTATATGAATGAAAACCAAGACTTTGTCTTTAAGGCTAAAATTAATTTTGTTTGAATAATTGATACATGATTATTTTTTTGATTTTTTATTCATTTCTATGGTTTAGGGTATTTTTTGAAGTTAAAATTATTTTTCAGGTTTTATAATTATAGGTTTAATTCTTGCTTTATTTTTGAAAGGAGTAATAAGTGTATTCTTTCAAGTTTTTCAGTAAGTCACTTGACTTGATTTCGAATCAAAACATTTTATTCTTAAGATCTTGCTCGATTCAAGCAAGTACTTTGTTAAATGATGTCTAAACTTTCGTTTCATCACACCTGTATTTTATGGTTTTTCTAAATTTCCCAAATTTCTCATCGTTTTTTGTCCATATTCTGATTCCTTTTATAGTTAGAAAATTAATGTCTTCTACTCTCTACATCTAGAAATTGAGTTTGACCCCCTTCATAAGGCATTACTTGTTGCAATTATCTATTCTTCATCAACAATATGCAACCCAACTTTCTTTACCATTTAGTTAGAATGGATGGATTTCTGATATTAACGACTGAAATAAATGTGAGAACTGGACCTACCACTGTCGGTAAGGAGGGGAGTAACCCAGATCTGATGGAGAAACTGGGTGCCACTCTTAAACGATCAAATTCTGCTCTTGGAAAGACATTTTGGGAGTCTCCAAATGACATAAATGAAGTCATGCAGATTGCAAAACGGTTGGGTTATAAGTTGGGGAGTACGACAGGTTTAGGTCAGACTTTCATTGTTGTCATGGAACTGAGCCAAACTTCGTGATCATTTTGAACTTTTTACGAAATAACTGTTATGTTTCTTTTTATAAAATTTCTTAAAAATCTCTCGATCATTTCCTTTTTGTATAATAATATGGTTTATGTCAGAAGTTTTTGTACGATACAGCAATAACTGTATCTTTTTTAACTGATAGTTTTTAAGAAAAATGTTGTCGCAAATATTATAATTTCATTTTATATAACATTTTATATAACATTTTATTCTGATAGACTTATCTCAATGTGATTTAATAGAAATACAAAAATGTTCTTCAATACGATACCTAAATTACTGCTTACTGCTTATTATACATGTATATAATATACCATATATTCTAACACAATCAATTTCTCGCTCATGTTGAAATATAAACTGCATGTACGATTTATAATTGCACAGTATGTTTTATAAGGATTATACAATTTTGCATCTGATCTATTGCATTGGACCTATCTTAATTAGCTAAGGTAGCTAGAGCTTTATCAATTCTGGTTACCTTATAATTACCTAGTGCATCACTAACGCTCAAATGTAAACTCTTATTGGAACCCTTTTTGATTGCACCAGATTTTTCATCAGTTATAAACAATTTGGTGCATCAAAATAAGGTTTGTTGAAGCCTCCTTATGGGTAGGCCACTAGGCCAACACTGTTAAATAACTAGTGATAGTTACATATCTTATATCCCTTATTTAATCATGTTCCCAATCTCTGCTAGTGTATGTCAAGTTCTAGCTGGGAAAACTCAGATGGATAATACAATATGTCTCCATGTTCCCAGTGGTTCCGTCCACCGAACGGATAATTCAGTTGTAGTTACTATTACCAGAGGAATGACTGGCCGCACTGATGAAATGGTTTCTATGTTGCAACGAATCGGTGCAACTTCCACACTATTGAACTACGAAACTTCGAGTAGACGTGGAGGCATTGCTCAAGTTACTAGTAACTTAGCTGTTGAGGGATACAATGTCGTTACTACAACAGTTGTCGGTGATAAAGTACTTTTTTAAATGCAACTCAGATCTGATCTTGTGAACTTTGAATAGGTATACTTTGATTGCAGTTCAAGCATGAAAGTACAATAAAACCTCAATTTACAGCATAGTTTGGGGAAAGGAAAAAAGGATGTTGTAAACTTGGGTGCACTACAGTTATTCAAACTTTTACAAATCTAGAAGGTTTCCTCTGATCAGTTAAACTCTAGTACACAAAAAAGGGCTATAGTTTTATCAAAACATACTCAATTAAGAGGTTTATAATAATGCATGTGAAATAACTAATTGTCCAGGCTAAGCTTCAAAGTGGTAAATCAGGGTTTGCGGTAAATAGGAGTGTGGGGGGGGGGGGGGGGGGGGGGGGGGGGGGGGGGGGGGGGGGGGGGGGGGGCGGTGGGGGGTGTTAAATCGGAGTTTTATCGGAGTTTTATTGTATAATGAATTATTTCGCAATTGTGTTTTTCGAAACCTTATTTTTATCATATTAGAGTATTCCTGTGAAATTGCTACTGAATAAATATAGATATTGATAGGAGTGAGATTTAGATTTTTTGACCACCTTTTACACCATATTGACATATTGGGAGGACTCTTGCAGTGTGAGTTGAAAGATTCCGAAGGGGACACCATTATTTTTAGTTTATTTTCGTTTATTTTAGTTTATTTTAGTTTATTTTACATTATTCAACAGCTGTTTCAATTCTTGGTAGATTTCATTACATTACTGGATATTGATAAATTTCAAAATGTAATCGACTGAGCTGAATGTGATGTTAATTAGTAGCTGCAGTCGTCCCACAGTAATGATGTGATGAATCTGACAAGTAGTCATAGAACTATAGAAGCATGAAAATGATGTACTTCGAGGCGACCTGCTTGTGACTCGACTAGTTTCGGCATTTCAAAGCCATCCACAAGGGAGTATCACTAGCCAATTCAAAAATTTAGACTTAAAGATAGATTTGTTGAGAATGATCAAGTATCTTCAACCGACTCCGGCCCTCGATTAATTAATTTGATAGTGAGATGCAAAAACAGCCCAGATAAATTATTGAATTAATCTAATGTGACCATCCAATATTATAATACACCCGTGTTCCTTATGATCAGCAAATTGATCGATATAGATGACTCAATCTCTTCAACAAGTGATATTATGATATAATATACATTTAGATGAAACTCATACAATGAAGGTATTCAGCTCCCTGTCCATGGACCATAGTTACTAATCCACTAAGTGCGTTTTGTCGCTCAGTCCATGGTCTTGAATGTAATGTAGGTATGATCGCCAACCCAGGCCACTTTATGACATAGTAGGAGCCCTGCTGACCCATATTGTATATTGAAATGTAAGTTTCAAAGCATGGCTAACAGGTCGGTTAGGTTATAACACATATTGTGTGTTATGTATAATGTTGTGTGGGGAGGGGGTGGATATAATCCATCTCAAGTTACAACAACATGTTCTAATTTACTAACTAGGTACATACAACGGTACTGATATAACTGTCCATATAGACCACTCAGATCCTTAGCTGAACCTCAACGACGCTCACCCCACGACCAGGCAGACAGTGGGATTCGAACCTGCAACCTTACGATTGCAAAGCTGGCGTTCTAACCAACTGTGCTACCTGGCCGATAATTATGATAAAATAATTTTGTGAGAATCGTAAAGTGCACGGTATAGAAGAAATACCCGGTATACAGAGAGGTTCACCTCATGATACTAATCCCCAGTATCTGTACAGTCTCCCAAATGACCTGTCCAACGTATCAAATACCCCATTAGGGCCTTATTCATTATTGTATAATGCCTGTTTTGTGTCGGAATATGTACTAAAATCGGTATATCAAGGTACCCGGTATAGAGAGTCAAGGTATAAAAAGGTTTGACTGTACTTGTCCCCATAACTTTTATGTTATGCTTGTTTTATGATCTTGATGTTGTTACTCAATAAGTACGCAAATTGACATAATTTTAATTTCAAACTTGTAAGAACAATAATTATAATAGCTAGCTTTGTCACATTTCATACGATAGGAAATGTAAAAATCATAAGAAAAAATGTATTAATGTATGTATCAGATCATGAAAGTTTTTCCATTGCTATCATCACAGTAGTAATTTAACAGTATACACTATACAAATTACAATACGTCAAACAATCAATGTAACAAAACTAATATGCCTCGGGAAATATCGCCAAATTCTCAAAAAATGAATTATTTTGTTGTTCAGTAAGCACACTGAAACATATTTTTTAATCATAACATAAATTAAATGATTTCTCAATGGGGGTTGCATGAAGATAATTTGATATTTAAAGTACTCTTTAAGTGTATTATAATCATAAAGGCCTAAATAACATTAACATTTTAACAACTAGGTATGTACCTAGTTGTTAAAATGTACATGATGTTGTTAAAATGTACATGATAAAATACCGCAGTTATATTTTAATTCTGTTAAGGTAATGCTTACTTCAGTTTTAATAACACACAAACACAGATAAAAACTAGATCAATAGTCTTTCTTATCCTAGATGGTGCTTCAGTCTTCAATGCTTCACGGGCCCGTTTTTACTCATCTTTGAGACATCCCTCGTTCAAGCTCACTCAAATGACACCTCCTTGTTCCCTCAGCTGATCAACTCTGTCGTCCAAGTAAGAGTAGATGTTCTCGTCGTGCTCACTTCCTGGTGTGAAGTTGTTCCATTCAGCACACCAACTTCTTTCTTCTTCCATTGGCTCCTCCTGAAGTCTCACCGCTGATGGTCCTGCCCCTTCGGGCCAGTCACTGTATTCAACGTTAGGGGTCAATATGGAGGAATACCTTACTGCAACTCCTTGTTCTGGTGTCGTTACTTTCTCTTTCTTTTTCTTCATCATAAGGACTGCTAGGACGATGCACACTAAACCTAGTACGACTGCAATGCCAGCTATGATGGCAGTCATACCTCTACCACCGTGAACTATTTTTTCAGAGGACCCTTCTTTTCCTAGAGAGTTCGTCATACAAAAGACTCCATTGCCTATCTTGTCCAGTTCATTGCACACATCACAAGTGTATTGCTTCCAATACTGCCCGATTTCGCATGTTTGACATTGCGGAGATCCCTTTTTCGAAATAGTGTAGAGAGGACATTTTGTACACTCTACGGCAAAGTCTCCACTGTAGTAGTTCTCAGGACAGGGAATGCATTTCATTGTTTGGGAATGCCAGTAGTTTCCAGCAAGGCAGCTACACGCAGTATCGCTAAGAATAGAAGTAGTTCCATTTGGGCACTGAGTGCATTTTCCGATTGACTTCTGGAAGAAGTCATTTCCTGTGCACAGGATACACTTGTTGTTGCTCCAGAAAGTTTCTGTGCCACAAGAACAGTGACTTGATCCTGGTGGTGAGGTTGAGGAGGATGGGCAATCTGCACAGAAACTCATGTTTCCGACCTTGTAGGAGTTGTGTGGACATGGCTTACATGAACCAGTTATTGGACTGTCCCACTCCCAGGTCATACCGTCCTCACAAACGCAGCTTGATTGGTTAGTTAATGTTCCTCTGTCACAAGTCATGCATCTAGATGCTCCTTTTGCGCTAGCTGAACCAGAGCTGCACTCTTCACAATCCTGTTCGTTCCAGAAGCTCCCTGCAGTACATGTACACGATTCTGATCCTGGGGTTGATGTTGAGGAAGACGGGCAATCTTGACAGCTGATCATATCTCCAGCTTTGTATGTGTTGGCTAGACAAGGCTTGCAGGACCCATCGCTTGGACCGTCCCATTTCCAGGTCATACCATCTTCACAGAGGCAACCAGTTTGGTTTGTTGATGTGCCACCGTCACAGGTGACGCATTCAGATGCTCCTTTTGTACTAGCGAACCAGAGCTGCATTCTTCACAATCTTGTCCATTCCAGAAGCCACCAGCAACACACATGCATGATTCCGATCCTGTAGTTGATATTGAGGAAGACGGACATTCTCTGCAGGTGCTCATTTTACCAGCTTTGTATGTGTTTTGCAGACAGGGGATACAGGACCCATCGCTAGGACCGTCCCATTCCCAGACCATACCATTATCACAGATGCAACTTACTTGATTTGTGTCTGTGGCATCATCACAAGTGATGCATTCAATTGCCCCTTTGCTGCTCACCGAACCAGAGCTACATTCTTCACAGTTCTGTCCGTTCCAAAAAGTCCCAGCAGGACAGGTACAAGACTGTGATCCAAATAGAGAAGTAGAAGGAGATGGGCAGTCTTGACAGCTGGTCATTTCTCCAACTTTGTAGGTATTCGATAGGCAAGGCTTGCATGACCCATCACTTGGACCATCCCATTCCCAGGCCATACCATCTCCACAGAGGCACTCAATTTGGTTTGTTGCTGTGCCATGGTCACAAATGATGCATTCAGATGCTCCTTTTGCACTAGCTGAACCTGAGTTGCATTCTTCACAATCTTGTTCGTTCCAGAAGCTCCCTGCAGTACAGGTACACGAATCTGATCCTGGGGTTGATGTTGAGGAGGATGGGCAATCTTGACAGCTGGTCATCTCTTCAACTTTGTAGGTGTTCGATAGGCAAGGCTTGCATAACCCATCACTTGGACCATCCCATTCCCAGGCCATACCATCTTCACAGATGCAACCTGCTTGGTTTGTTGTAGTTCCGAGGTCACAAGTGACGCATTCAGATGCTCCTTTTGCACTAGCTGAACCTGAGCTGCATTCTTCACAATCATGTTCGTTCCAGAAGCCACCAGCAGCACACATGCATGATTCCGATCCTGTGGTTGATTTTGAGGGAGACGGACATTCCCTGCAGGTGCTCATTTTACCAGCTTTGTATGTATTATGCAGGCAGGGGATGCAGGACCCATAACTTGAACCGTCCCATTGCCAGGCCAAACCATCTTCACAGAGGCAACCTGCTTGGTTTGTTGCTGTAGCACCGTCACAAGTGACGCATTCTGATGCCCCTTTTGTACTAGCCAAACCAGAGCTACATTCTTCACAGTTCTGCCCGTTCCAGAAGGTCCCAGCAGCGCAGGCACAAAACTGTGATCCAGGTAGAGAAGCAGAAGGAGATGGGCATTCTTGACAGCTGGTCATTTCCTCATCTTTGTATGTGTTCGATGGGCAAGGCTTGCAGGACCCATCGCTTGGACCATCCCATTCCCAGTCCATACCATTTTCACATACACAACTAGTTTGGTTTGTTGTTGTGCCACGGTCACAAGTGATGCATTCAGATGCCTCTTTTGTACTAGCTGAACCAAAGCTACATTCTTCACAGTTCTGTCCGTTCCAGAAGGTCCCAGCAGGACAGGCACAAGACTGTGATCCAGGTAGAGAAGTAGAAGGAGATGGGCAATCTTGACAAGCTGGTCATTCCCCCAACTTTGTATGTGCTTGGTAAGCAAGGCTTGCAGGACCCATTGCTTGGACCATCCCATTCCCAGACCATACCATCTTCACAGAGACAACCAGTGCGATCCTCAGTTGCACCATCACTACAAGTGATACAAGTATTTGCTCCTCCCAAGCTAGCTGTGCCAGAGCCACACGGTTCACAGTTTTCCCCACTCCAAAAGCTTCCTTTTTCACAAGAACATACTGCTGATCCTGCTAGAGATGATGCCCCTGTTGGACACAACTCGCATTGCATCACTGCTCCAGCCTTAAATTTGCCTTCCGGGCAAGGCACACATTTTCCTTCCATCTCATGATCCCACATCCAGTACTGCCCGTCTGGACAATCACAAGAACTCCCATCATCATTAGGCAGTGAGTCAACTGGACACTGAAAACATTTTCCACTAACACTTGCAGAGTCACTGGGACATTTTCTACATCGCCCATTACTCCACTGGGTTCCGACTCGGCAATCACACTGGACAGAGCCTGGCTTGGAGGTGGCGACACCTGGACATCTTATACATGATGTAGATCCTGAGGTAGGACTGAAAAAGTTGGCAGGGCACATTGCACAGGTTAAGTTGTGTGGGTAGTGGCCTGCAGGACAGTCAGGTTTTGGACATGTTGGGTGGGATGGACAAGTTGGGTGGGGTGGACAGGTTGGGTGGGGTGGACAGGTTGGGTGTGGTGGACAGGTTGGGTGTGGTGGGCAGGTTGGGTGTGGTGGACAGGTGAGCACAGGTGGACAGGTTGGGTGGGGTGGACAGGTTGGGTGTGGTGCACAGGTGAGCACAGGTGGACAGGTTGGGTGGGGTGGGCAGGTTGGGTGTGGTGGACAGGTTGGGTGTGGTGGACAGGTGAGCACAGGTGGACAGGTTGGGTGTGGTGGACAGGTGAGCACAGGTGGACAGGTTGGGTGTGGTGGACAGGTTGGGTGTGGTGGACAGGTTGGTGTCGGAGGACAATCTGGACATGTAACCTGTGGACATGTGGTTGCAGGAGGACAGGTCAACTGCGGACAAGTTGGCGCAGCAGGGGCTTCTGGGCAGGTTAGTTCAGGGCACGTTGGGACTGTGCATTCAATTTGAGGCGGACACGTTGCTACTTCATTGATAGATCCTTCACAGGACAAGAACACATCCTCACTATGACCACAGTTTTCCTCAGTGACATACGAGCATGAGGCCCAGTCTCCACGTGAGCAGATGACATCATCCAAACTGATTTCTTTGTTAGCCTGCAGGTTGGGGAATTTATTTCCAGATGACCACTGAAGCAATCCTGTGAAGCTCATATGACGACAAATGGCTATGCCAGAGTTGGAAGTGAAGCTGTCGTCACAAACTGTTCCGTCTTTGTAAAGAAGCAGTCCGAGCACTCCTCCGTTCTGTATTTGGTTTCCTTGTCTGTCCACTAGTGAAAATAGAGGTTCAGCAGCAGCAGCAGGGCAATCAAGGCAGGTCTGATCAGGACAAGTTGGGACAGCAGGGACATCTGGGCACTCGATTTGAGGTGGACAAGTTGGGACAGCAGACACATCTGGGCACTCGATTTGAGGTGGACAAGTTGCCACTGTTTCATCTGCCGGATCTGCTTCATCAATGGATCCTTCACAAGACAAGAACACATCCTCAGTGTGACCACAGTTGTGTATAGTGGTGTAGGAGCACGAGTTCCACTCTCCACTTGAGCAGTCAACGTTATCCAACTTTATTTCTCTATCTCCTTGGATGTCGCCGAATCGATTTCCTGATGTCCATTCTTGAAGTCCTGTGAAGCCAATAAAACGACAAATTGCCATACCTGCGTTGTCGTCAAAGCTGTCGTCACAAACTGTTCCGTCGTTATAGAGAAGCAATGCGAGTGATCCTCCGTTTAGAACTTCGTTGCCGTTGTTGTCAATCAGTGAAAATTGGGGTACTCCTGAAATTACATCTTTACATATTCATCGAAATTTTAATTGGCAGTCGGTCGTATTTTATATATTTTTCAAACGATTATTATCACCCGAAATGCAAAAATGGTAATACGTCACCTTGACAAGTTAGAAAGACATCCTCAGAATGTCCACAGTTGTGAGTCTCCGTGTATGAACAGCTATCCCATTCTCCACTGATATCACAGCTTACATCGTCCAACTCTATCTCGTAGTTATTCTGTATTGTCCACTGGGTTTGCGAGTTCCAAGATATCTGCGGTCCAAACCCCATCTTTCGACAGACGGCATTCCCGGAATCTTCGTCGAAAGAGTCGTCGCATACCGTTCCGCCTTTCCAGAGAAGAAGTCCTTCGGCTTGTGTTGTTATTGGCTGTCCATCTCTGTCCACCAATGTGAATTCGGCTATCACGACTGAAAATAACTTTTGATAAATTGATTTGGAATTTTATATCACGGTACCTCAAACGACTAGTTCTGATAAACTAACATCCTTTTCTAATTCCGTTCTTTCCTTATTAGTAAGTTCCTTGATTAAAAAGTTTTTATTAAGTCAACCAAATTTTCGTGCGTCTTACGAAAAGATTTGTTGTTCATTGCGAGGCATAATAGCGTTCTGTGGTTATCAACAGCTGCCATGTCGTTAAAAAGTTGTAAGTTATAAATAGTCGAGATCGAAGATTTGCTAACTCGAAAACGTGAAGAAAATATTTAAACGCCCGTTTATTATTTCGTTCATTGTCGTTCAAATTGTTACCAATCAGGTGAATTAAAAATTATGTCTTGTCGAAGGTTGACGTAAAACAACTGCAATGAAAAGATCAGTTGGATTCCGTCAACAACTAGATTACCAAAGTACGTAACTTAATAAGGGGGCATACCCCAAATCTCTCCAGACCTAATGACCTCATAGGCAGTTCAGGGACCTTCTAGCGCACCGTTTCCACACAAAAAAAATTATTTTGAGAATTCCCATTTTTGTAATCGAGCATTTCCTGGTTAAGAGTGCAATTTTCGGAAAAAATTATTTTGTGGTTGAGACGCTATAAGTTAATCATTTCTTGCGGTATCGGGTTGAAATTTTGCTCGCCGTTTATTCACATCTATGTCAAGGTGTGTGTAAAATCTTGATATCGTATCTAAAAAGGCTGGTGTTTTATGAATTTTTAAAGTCAAAAAGCTAAAATTGTCCTTTTCAGGCTTATTTTAACAAAAAGTCAGTCAGGGAAGATCGGATTATTTGATGCTTGACATCAAATTGTTCTCTGAATTCTGGCGCAGTTTTTGATGCCCTCAAAAATGTTTTTACTCATTCACCTTCTGATCTATTGGACCTCAAAGTCAAACAACAAATTTAGGCACATTTTTTGTTTTTAATATTTACTGATTTTTCTAAAATTTTGATAGGAATGTGCTAGTGACTTTTTGAAGGGTGCAAAATAACCGCAACTAGCACATTTATATATGAGTTATGAACAACAAAACACCCTAAAATGCTTCCCTTTGAAGTTATGGGAGAAAATGTGATGTTTTGGCTTCGCCAGAATTCAGAGAACAATTTGATGTCAAGCATCAAATAATCCGATCTTCCCTGACTGACTTTTTGTTAAAATAAGCCTGAAAAGGACAATTTTAGCTTTTTGACTTTAAAAATTCATAACACACCAGCCTTTTTAGATACGATATCAAGATTTTACACACACCTTGACATAGATGTGAATAAACGGCGAGCAAAATTTCAACCCGATACCGCGAGAAATGATTAACTTATAGCGTCTCAACCACAAAATAATTTTTTCCGAAAATTGCACTCTTAAACTGGAAATAAAATGCTCGATTACAAAAATGGGAATTCTCAAAATAATTTTTTTTGTGTGGAAACGGTGCGCTAGAAGGTCACTGAACTGCCTATGATGTCATTTGGTCTGGACAGCACAAACCACTGTTTTGGGGTATGCCCCCTTAGTCCTTCTTAATGGAATGTGTTGGCATAGTACCTGTCAAGTTATTAGATGTACGTCACGAGAATGATATTTTGTCATGGTAATGAGTAGTAAATAATTTAAATCGATCATCCCTAAAAAGACGATATTATGTCATAGCAATACTAGCAATTAGCATGCCCTAAGCTACTTACCCAATACTGTGCTTCTAACTTAATAAAATGGTTACATGATTACATTGAACGCTTGAGTGTGATGGTATATTATATACTATTATATAGTTACATTAGATTGTAACGTCATGATGTTAAAATAATTGTTCATTGCATTTGAATTTACTAATTCAAATGACTGCAAAATGTAGATCAGACATAACGAAGATCATACATTTAAAAAAATTGTAAAGATACATTTTTTAAAATGTTAACAATTTAAAAAATGTAAAAAATGTATTATCTCTTACCCGACATGAGGAATACCAATAATAGGGCAGAGAGCGAACGAATCATAGTGCGTGTTATAAAAATATTTCAACAAAGTGAAAATGTATCTAATTTACTGTGATCAAATAGTAGACTTAGGTGATCGCAGAAGATGGTAAAAAATTCCCTCTGAGTAGGTATGGAAGTTCTTGTGATTGTGAAATCATCGGTGTCGAATTTTAACCCTCCAGAGTGAAAATGTGCTTTTAGTGTATTTAATCATCACTACACATTATGGAGTAAAGATTACAGTAGGAGCTGGTACGAACTTGAATTTGAGATTATTTTGACCAAAATTAAAACGAACTTATTTGTCTTTGCTAGCACATGGTAACCCGTGATGCAGTTCTCACAATATTTGAGGAATGTGACAGAGACAATGATGGTATTGTTTGGCTCTCTGAGATAAAACAACTTGCCCTTAGTTACTCTTCCAGCAATGAGGTTTCTATCATCAATTTTATCCGTATCAGCATCTCCAACGAATGCCCATCTCCTTCTACTTCTCTACCTAGATCACAGTCTTGTGCATGTGCTGCTGGGACCTTCTGGAACGGGCAGAACTGTGAAGAATGTAGCTTTGGTTCAGCTAGTACAAAAGGGGCATCTGAATGCATCACTTGCGACCGTGGCACAACAACAAACCAAGCAGGTTGCCTCTGTGAAGATGGTTTGGCCTGGCAATGGGACGGTTCAAGCGATGGGTCCTGCAAGCCTTGCCCATCGAACACATACAAAGATGAGGAAATGACCAGCTGTCAAGAATGCCCATCTCCTTCTACTTCTCTACCTGGATCACAGTCTTGTGCCTGTGCTGCTGGGACCTTCTGGAACGGGCAGAATTGTGAAGAATGTAGCTCTGGTTCAGCTAGTACAAAAGGGGCAATCGGAATCATGCATGTGTGCTGCTGGTGGCTTCTGGAACGAACAGATTAACATGATTAACTCTACTATATATATATATAACTCTACTATATATATATATAATATCTTCAACTTGATTAAATTCCCCCGGCAACGACTTGAAACCACAGAGAATTGACTAGTGACCCCTCTCATGTTCTGATTTTGGCTCGAAAGTTGACCGGGAAACTCAAAATTTTAACCAAGGTTGTGCAGAAAAGGATGTGCATATTATATTAAGAATGTAACATCAATTACTGATTCATATAACTCCATCTAACGAAGAAGGTACGTAATAATAAGTTAACTTAAATTTGGAATTTAAAGTATTTTATTTTTCATAATATTGGTTGAGGATATCGCAAGCGGGATGTAAAAGCAATATTTTTTTAAAAAGTATTCCCGTGACAATAAATACCATATATGTTTCACGAGCAGAAAGATGAATAATTCATATTTTCCAAATAATGTTTCATTGACATTACATTTATTGAAACTGTTGGTTGAATTTAACTTTTATTCTTTCATTCTTTTAGGCGATTAAATTGTTGATATAATTTAAATTATATTATGTGGTTAATTATCGATTTTTTTTTCCAAGTTATGTTCTTCAAATTGATACAGTGAAAATATTATTCGATGACAAGAAAAATCGAGAATAAAACTAAGCCATTGAATATAATTGAAATTAACTTATTTGTCTTTGCTAGCACATGGTAACCCGTGATGCAGTTCTCACAATATTTGAGGAATGTGACAGAGACAATGATGGTATTGTTTGGCTCTCTGAGATAAAACAACTTGCCCTTAGTTACTCTTCCAGCAATGAGGTTTCTATCAACAATTTTTTCCGATATCAGCATCTTCAACGTAGTAGTGCCTCACTTGGACATAATAATCTTCAATATTGTTTTTAAAATCTCCTATAATGTTAAACAATAATTTTGGTATCATATTTTGATAGATGACTCGACTGAAATTCGTTTTATTTAAAACAGATTTTAACTAAGAAAATTCGTGTTTTTACCAGTTATTTGTTGTGATTTAAAGCAAAATTACACAGGACGAACTTGAAACTGACCAAGACGAGGATGTCCCTCTCACATTTGAAGATTTCCTTGAAAAGTTTGCACCTCAACTCAAAGGACTGACCCCCGAACAACACAGTAAGAAAAGATCAATAGAGATATTTATAAAGCTTAATCCTTGATCCACCCAAGACCCCCAGCCTGCTCCTAAATAATTAATTTTATAATGCTTGAACCATTCTATGATACACCCAATACCCATGTTCCCTATGATTAATCCCTAGCAAATTAATACTGTGATCTATCGGTATAGATAATAGATATTAAAACTCAATATCTTCAATAAGTGGTATTCTAATACATAGATACATACATATTTTAGATCAAACTGATACAATAAAGGTACTCAGCTCCATGTCCAGTGTCCATGGCCCATAGTTACTAATTCACTAAGTGCGTTTTGTCGCTCAGTCCACGGTTTTGAATGTAATGTAGGTATGATCGCCAATCCAGGCCACTTTATGACATAGTAGTAGCCCTGCTGACCCATATTGTATATTGAAATGTAAGTTTCAAAGCATGGCTAACAGGTCGGTTAGGTTATCACACATATTGTGTGTTATGTAATGTTGTGTGGGGAGGGGGTGGATATAATCCATCTCAAGTTACAACTACATGATCCGATTTACTAGTACTTGAAGCATCACCAGTAGCTAAATTTAACTACGATACTGATATAGAAATGAATATTTTTGGTATTGTATTCGACACTTCGTGTTCGTGTACAATGTACATGGTAGTTTGGCGAATTTAGAAAAAATAGAATATCTAAAAATCGTATCAAACGTGCCCCACCGTTTAGTAATGAGTTATTTATTCAATATCGAGACATCAAAACATACTTAATCTAATTGTTTTGAACTGGTTTTGTATTTTTACATAAATATTTGATAGAGGGACAGAAGTAAAGGGCTGTCATATGAAATACAATATTATGACTAATCAAACTAACACTTGAAGTATTAATTCATCCCGATTATGTTACTGCAAATTGTAGCCTAAAGCAAAACTAAAGACACATTAAAATGTTAAAATACAGCATGTCATTTCAGTTTGTAATGGAGAGTTGGAAGAAGAGAGTAAAGACGGTCAACTGGAAAACTTCCCTAATGAGAACGGAGGTCACGTGACCTTGATAGAAACTGACTCTGGGAACAAGAACCTTATGGAGAATGTTAAGATACTTGGTACGTGAGAATCCCATGACTTTTAAATTGTGCCTGTTTAATGATTTAAATATTTAATGCTTTATTCAAGGTATTAACTACCCATTTTTCTAAAATTTCTCAATTTACGTCAACAAATAAATTAGAAAATAATGAAATATTATATAACATCATGTAACACCTGGAACAGTCTAAAATATATTTATTATATGACAAAATATCATTCTCGTGACGTGGATCTATTAACTTGACTACTTAAATCTTCATAACACATGCACAGGTATAGTACTATGCCAACACATTCCATTAAGAAGGACTTAGTACATTAAGTTACGTACTTTGTTAATTTAGTTGTTGACGGAGTCCAACTGATCATGTCAGTGGAATTGTTTTACGTCAACCTTCGACAAGACATAATATAAATTGACCTGATTCTCTGATTGGTAACAATTTGGACGGCAATGAACGAAATAATAAACGGGCGTTTAAATGTTTTCTTCACGTGTTAGTAATTCTCCCTTTTTGCTGCTTCAACACATGGTTTCTCTCTACACCGTACGCGTACGCTGTACACTGTTCACTCAGCTCAGGGGCTATGGCTGACCAACACTTGAATTACTGAGTATTGAGTAAGGGATAGATATGAGAACTTGAGAAGTAACCGGTAACTCATTTAGTCTGGGTCCCACAGAGATCTGATCACGTGGCTTATTCACTGCCGACCAATTAATTAATTAGCTGGCAACGGTTCAAAATGTAATATGTTGTCCCCCTTTGTAAAGAGAAGCTCAATCGATACTTTGTGGACCATGAATGAACATTAGCATACGGTAAATTTATTGACAACCAATCATATTGTTTCTGTTCCCATCCTCGTGGAATAGTTACATTGTTACTATTAAATGATATAGAAATTTAGGGACAGCTGTCTTACACAAATTATGTGCTTGTGCAGAAAATTCTCCACGCTAACTAACAATCTGACAAATTCCTGCCATACCAACAGTTGCTCCCTTTACGAACAATAGACTTCCTTACCTTATTGAAGTTCAATCACCTTAGCGCTAATAAGCATTTCTTGATAGTTCTTTCGATGCTGTGAATTTATATGGCACGATTGCACACTGCACTGTACAGTACGACATCATTTTCTCGAAATAACATTCGAGGCAAATTGTTTTCTTTTGTGAGCTGCGAATCTTTGAAAGTTACTTTATACTTTGAAGCTTTGAATAATATTTAATGTTTCGCAATTTCTGGCAAAACCGTTCTATTAAGAAGCGAAAGAAGATCTAGTATATTGTTTAGGTAAATTCATAGTTGTTAAGTTCGTCGAAGAAATGCGAAAAGTTCGTCCAGTTCGGCACCTTTTAAAAATTCGTGAAAATTCGTGAAAATTCGTTGCGTAAATTTTCTTGGCATATGTTTTGATTTTATAATGAATGGCTTAGGTGCTATCACTATTACACTTGTAAACAAATGATACAGTTAGATAGTTATACATACTTGTATTGAAAAAAAAAACTAGATCAACAACAGATCATGACTAGTACTTCAATATAAACAGAGCTGGTTCACAGATTACAATTAAGCATCAATTATAGCAACAGCTCACAACTTATCATTGTTATCTAAATAATCTATAGCATATGTGATCTTAGTGATCTTAGTAAAGTTAAAGTTCGGTTAAAGTTCGTCTATTTCGTTAAAAAATTCGTCCAGTTCGGCACCTTTTTAAAGTTCGTCCAGGACGTCCGTAACAACTATGGGTAAATTGTTTCAATACTCAAACATGATTTCATTTGATAATAATATCACCTTCTTAACTTATCTATTAATAGCTCCCTAATATCGACCTCTGTATTTGTAAACAATTTCTAGTTTTTATGCCTGCTGTACTGGGCTGAATACAACTGAACGGTTAATTCTTTAATCTGAGTACAGTAAATCATGAACCAGGGTCCAGGATCAATGGTCATACTGTACTATCACGTGTATTGTATTAGTGTTGTTAATTATCACATCATCAAAATATAGATTATGACCGATAAGCGCCCACTATTTGTGAGCGAAGGGCAGCTAGTATAATTACTATTAGCTTAAACTTTATATTGAGACTCTGTCGAGTTTCCATTGACGCATTTGTTTCTGAAATATAATATCCTTTTTCTGAGATTCAACTAATTAAGTAAAATTTGGATATACTATATAATATAATATAATATAATGGTATATTTATATATATTATATTATTGGTTGTATTATATACATGTTATAATTATATATTATATAATATAAAATAGAAATCCACAATCCACAATCCACAACTACAACATCAAGAACTAGAAGATCACAACGTAATTATATAACTCTGCAAAAACTAAGATTATTTATAATGAAATAGTGTCGTATTTAGACGGTATTATATATTAAACCCGTAGCCACATTAGTCAGTAAAATCTTTAGCTACCAGTGTATTTATAGCTATTGGCTTATTGGTAATCAGTATAATATTATTATAATATATATGATATCATATTATAGATATGTAAAAATGTAATATTAATGTATTACTACTATGCTCACAATATATTTGCACGTATCATGACGTACACATATATAATGACGTCATCATGACGTATCTCCTCCACAGGGACGAGTAGCGGGGTATCAGACTGCAGTATAGAGCCCCCTCCATCCCTGGGGGCGGGACCCCCCAATGAAGCCGCCAACTTTGCTTTCTCTCCTGAGGAAGGGTTTGAGGGGTACGGTGAGGTGAGCAGTGATGAGGAACTCCTTATTGAGGACAAGGTAGATCTCCTGGTAATTATTTTGTGGATCGGTTCTTATTGGGTGGCTTTATTTCTAGATTTGTTTTAGTTTGCTGTTTTTTTAGTGGAACTGGGTGTGAAATAAATCAGGCTCGTCCATTCTTTATTGTCAGTCTTTATTAAACAGTGCTAAAATAGTGTCGACACTTGTCAAACATTAAAACTCTTCATTGCTTATCATCATGAGAAGTTTTTAGTGCTCAAGTTATGTTCTTTTCAAGTTATGCATGCTTCACCTCGTGATTTACACGCTAAATACTAGGTCACGTGAAGTGACTTGAAGTTTGTTGTTAATGTTATGTTATAGTTATACTACTCTTATACTAGTATACTGTAAAATACGCTGAGCATCTTAATTAATCGGCGTAGAATTCGGTATCTTAAATTATAAAGAGTTAGTTTAGTTTCTGTAAAACCTCTTAACAATGGTATAAATTAAAGTACTAACGGAAACTGGTGTCAAACCATTTCAAAAAATCCCCTGGGAAGGTTAGCATATGTCCAAATCATAATTTTTCAATCCTAATTATGATAATAATTTCAGAACATATCAGCAGTGGTTGAGTGTGACCTGCCTAGCCTCAGTCCTACCGGATCCTTCCGAAGAAAGAACTCACCTTTCAGACTTTCGCAGCGCAGGTTCGTTATAACTTATAATTAATCTATAGATCATAGTTCAGCGTCATAAACTTACTCTTCTCAAATGAAGGTGATTCGATCGTAATATTTGTATCCTCGAATGTTCTCCAACTTACACATTAGACTCTCTCTACCTAAGGTCTTAGGATCAGACAGAAGTTACTATTACTATGATTATGCAGGTTTTTATGATCAACCTCGTCGGAGTTAGTATATCTAGGAGTATAAGTCTGGGAGATTCAACAAACGTTTAAATTTTAAGTTACATATTGTGAAATATTGTAAAATTTCATTGCCTGCAGACTAGTGACGATTTTGATAATTTCATATAATTCTTTAAATGCTTTTAAAGTACAAATTTTAAATCTCGCAAAATAGTAGCGTTGCCTGAACAATCATTTAGTCGCATGATGTTTCTAAAAATGGCAATCACGAACATGTTATAATGTTTAGTTGGCTACTCAATTTAATGGGTTTTGAAACTCTTTATTGGTAAGATTTCTATATCTGTGCAGTATAATTTAAGGAGATTTACCATAGCGGTGACCGGCAGAACCCCGTCTGAATCTAAGAAAGTCAGAAGTTGAGCTTATACAAATTTCAATGATCAAGTTGGTCTATATTCATGATATAAATGCAAATTATGGAACGTGAAACACATTATTTTTACATACCATCAGTTCTTTAAAGCGCTGATAATTTGATCTTCATTGCTCCACATCACCCCTGGTTTGTGACCTAAATCGTCAAAAGCTATCAAATGATCCCTCTACGATAATCCAATTACAACCATATCTATAAATAGCATCTGGGTCCTTTATTAAATACGGAACAAATACCTTACTACTTCAATTATACTCAATTTGTGTACATTGTACTTTCAGCGGCAAGTTTCCATAAACGATATTTTATGATCGGCGACGATAATCGCTTATTGAGCGCTTTTTCGGCGCTTTTTTTTTAAAAAACCGTTTACAATCGCTTTTTTTACGATTATAAACGGTTCAAAAAAATCGCTTATAATCGACTATAATTGGTGTCATAATTCAAAAAAGCGCTTTTTCGAATTTAAAAGCGCTTATAAGCGCTTTTAAGCGCTTACTAGCGTCGCTGAGCGATTTGAAAGCGGTTTTCCAGTAGGATTGGCGCCAAAAACGGGTGGATAAGCGGTTGGCCGGATAAGCGATTCGTGGGCGCTTTTTTGAACCATTTATAAGCGATTATAAGCGCTTATAATTGGGGTGCAATTTAACTGTTTGTAAAGCGCAAATAAAGCGCTTATAAGCGCTTTTAAAATTGAGTCAGGAAAACGCTATATTACATCTTATAACAGCTTATAATCGATTATAAGCGTTTTTTTAGAAATCGCTTATTACGGCTAATTCATCGCTATTTCACCGCTTTTACTGCTTTTCCTATCATCCATGGCCAGGTGAGCAGGAATTAAAAAGCGCTTATAAGCGCTTTTTCGATGCTGCCCCTAGCCTGGTCGGAACGGGGGTGTGCCCAGAATTAAAAAGCGCTTATAAACGATTTCTCAATTCTCTTCAACCTGGTCGGAACTGGAGAGTGCCCACTTGCATGTGCTTTTCTGAGCAACCTGGGGTGCACCGGCAGAGTCAGGATTTAAAAGCGCTTATAGGCGCTTATGATTGCTTTTCTACCGCTTTTCCCATCACCCATGGCCTGGTTGGCAAGAATTATAAAGCGCTTATAAGCGTTTTTTCAATGCTACCCCTAACCTGGTCGGAACGGGGGAGTGCCTGGAATTAATAAGCGCTTATAAGCGATTTCTCAATTCCCCTTAACCTGGTCGGAACTAGAAATCAGAGTGCCCGCTTATAAGTGCTTTTCTGTGCAACCTGGGGTGCACCGGCAGAGTCAGGATTTAAAAGCGCTTATAGGCGCTTATGATCGCTTTTCTACCGCTTTTCCCATTACCCATGGCCTGGTTGGCAAGAATTTTAAGCGCTTTTTCAATGCTACCCCTAACCTGGTCGGAACGGGGGAGTGCCTGGAATTAATATGCGCTTATAACCGATTTCTGAATTCCCCTTAACCTGGTCGGAACTAGAAATCAGAGTGCCCGCTTATAAGTGCTTTTCTGTGCAACCTGGGGTGCACCGGCAGAGTCAGGATTTAAAAGCGCTTATAGGCGCTTATGATAGCTTTTCTACCGCTTTTCCCATTACCCATGGCCTGGTTGGCAAGAATTTTAAGCGCTTTTTCAATGCTACCCCTAACCTGGTCGGAACGGGGGAGTGCCTGGAATTAATATGCGCTTATAAGCGATTTCTGAATTCCCCTTAACCTGGTCGGAACTGGAAATCAGAGTGCCCGCTTATAAGTTCTTTTCTGTGCAACCTGGGGTGCACCGGCAGAGTCAGGATTTAAAAGCGCTTATAGGCGCTTATGATCGCTTTTCTACCGCTTTTCCTATCGCCCATGGCCTGGTTGGCAGGAATTAGAAAGCGCTTATAAGCGCTTTTTCAATGCTGCCTCTAACCTGGTCGCAACGGGGGAGTGCCCGGAATTAAAAGACGCTTATAAGCACTTTTTCAATGCTGCCCCTAACCTGGTCGGAACGGGGGAGTGCCCGGAATTTAAAAGCGCTTATAGTTATAAGCGATTTCTCAATTCCCTTCAACCTGGTCGGAACTGGAGAATGCCCACTCGTATGTGCTTTTCTGAGCAAACTGGGGTGCACCGGCAGAGTCAGGATTTAAAAGCGCTTATAGGCGCTTATGATCGCTTATCTACCGCTTTTCCCATGGGCTTATAAGCGCTTTTTTAATGCTGCCCCTAAGAATTTGAGAAGCGGTTATAAGTTATAAGCGATTACAATCACTTTTTATTGCTGGTTTTTACCGATTTATCTATCATTTATCAACATGGATTTAAACATAGTTGTTTGACTGGCGATCTAGAAGCCAAGCAAGAAGGCTAAGTGCACGGCGCGGCAAAGTTCTCCGACAATAATTGTCAGAAATTGTAAAGCGCTTGCAAACGTTTATTTATATGTTGTTAATGGTGGTGGTTGTCCTGGTGGCGGTCGATGCGCGCTGCGTCATCAGTCATACACACTTCACATTCAGAACTTGCAAAAGAAAAATATAGTATATGAAATTAAATTATTGCGCTGGGCCACGCTCAGTCTGTCAACGAGTATGACAGGCCTGTTTATGTCATTCCAAGGAATCTCTAGTCGGGCTGAGCGAATCACGACGTCTGAAAAAAGTGCGGTGCTCATTGAAAGTTAGTGTGTGCGTGACCAGCATTCACGTATTTGTTCATAATCAATCGTGGACATAAAAACAAGTGCACGCTGAGTACCAATAGGAAAAAAGTAATGTATATATACGCTAGTAAAGCCTTGCGCGTGCAGGCGTGCTGAGATAGCTTGTAAAATTTGGTTATTAGATAGTAAAACTGCAACAAATAAACCGCGCCAGATTGCGCGTTTGAATCGCTCCTACGAAATCGCTCGCCCAAATTTTAAGAAAATTCTTGTGAAAAGGCCTTTGGGTATGACATTGATCTAAATCGGTGTATTTTTTGGACGCTGATCCCGAATCACCCGCCATGACGTAGGGTAAAAATATTTCCCTGGAGAGTTACATGGGCAAAAACCGTTTTAGTCACGTGACAGGCTAGTAAAACATGATTTCGATTGTTTAGGGCTCATGTTTGGATTAAGGTACGCGGGTTATGGATAGCTTCGGGGTTATGGTTGGGATTATATTAGGGTTTATGTAAAATTGTTTTGTATGGCTGCAAAACCATAAAAACCAAGGTCACGTGAAATTTTTGGGCGAGCGAATTAGCAAGAGCCAGTCGCGGTTTTTATACAAAAATAAGCGTACACATGATATACAATGCAATAAAGCTAAGAGTTTCTGCATGTTCGATTATTTTGCACCTAACTTAACCATGTGCCTTCGTGCTGCCGTTGCTCTATCCAGATAGGTAGTGCGCCATCAACAGTGAGCCGCGCGTGCCGACTGTATAGTAGGATAGTTTTTTAGTGCTAATTTCGGCCAGCACAATTTTCTTCAAACAAATAGATATTGAGTATCCTTCCGGACCTCCGATTGCAACAAAAATTGGTAAGCTCATTCTGTACTCATAGACTTACGAGGAAAGTGTCCGAAATAATACGACAAAAATCAACGAATTTGGTCAAATTATGCGACTTTTACATCTACTTTTGCTCCAAAAGCCGCGCACCATCAGATATGGCACCCTTCACCTAACCATGTGCTTTCGCGCCACTTCGGGCGCGCTTGTTTCACAAGTACGTCAAGAAGTGAGTGGGCGCGCGCTACTGCAAGCGCAAGGGCTCTGGATAGAGCAAATGGCACCCAGCTAGTGAGGCGAAACTCACTGATCTTTCCATGAAAAAGGTATGACAAATTTGGTATTGTGAAAATTCTCACAGTCTCTAGAAAACAGTGTTACAAAAAATTTTAAAATCTGAGCAAGTTTATTTTATCGTCCACCCCTAATCCAGAGCCGTTGAGCTTTGATTTAGCCGCCAACCCTCCATCGATTTTGGCAACCATATATTGCATTGGTTCCCAAAATTTACCGCACTTTGCAGTTTCTGCAGTAGGGGTAATTAGGTATAAACTACAGTACAGCTGTACTTACAATCACATTCACAAGCATGCAAGCTCACCTAACCTGGTCCAATGAGCCTAGCGGGAAACAGAAAACGTTTTAATTAGTTTGTTAAACGAAGTGTCGTACGTCACCTCAAGATCAGGTGACAGGGTGCTTACAATTCGCGTTACTGGGCGGCGCTCAGCCTGTCATTCTGCATTCCGCCAAATCTTTATTCGGGCTGAGTGAATTAGGGGGTGATGCAACGTCAATTAATGTCAGTATTCCATAAAAACCCCAAACTGACATTGACATTAATTGACATTAATTGACATTAATTGACATTAATTTGTCTTGAAATTTGAGATTATCATTATTCGATAAATATTCAAGATATT